ATATTCTGCAGGTTATTGCTTTGTTCACTGGATGTGGGGAAAGAACTTTAGAGCAGGTAATAGGCCACTGAAGGGTGGAATCTCTGAAGAGGTGAAATCGGCCAATAGGCACTGCAGTTCCTCCGCAAAGAAGTTTGACTGAACAGAAGAGATTGTTTGCGCACATCCATGCAGAAGGCAATAGTTGTCCTAATGAGCAAATGGCTGTAAGCACTTCAGCAGCTGCTGAGGTAAAATGCCATCCTCAGAACAGAAAATGGACGCTTGCCCGCTACAGCCTTTGTTATCCCTGAGGTGGCCTAATTATGATTTCTGTATCAAAGCCATCCAAGCCCTTTGATGTCTTCCACCCTCACAAGCCTCTTTCAGTTCCATTTTGACAGCTGCTACAAACAAGCAGTATCTCCAGACCAAAATAGTTAAAGAAAGCAGACCTGAATGGGAAGTAAAGGTTAACTGAAAATCTTCACTACCCTTTTTGCTTTAATTGTCTACCAAGGCCTTGGGCTGCTAAAGACCTAGAGAGGGTACCTTGCCACTCAGGGTCTGGAACTGGCAAGGTTGGGTTGAAGAAGCTGGAGCCTGGCAGATAGGAAGCAAAATGAAGTAGAGCAATCAAAACACACTGCTCTGTTGACCAAGCAAAGAGTACACCATGCTCTTGACATTTACAGCAGGTCACAACCACCCAGAGGCTTCAAATGCCTACTTGTTTACCATGACCAAGCCAGCCCAATACTATTCATCAGGCAATGTTCAGAGCTTCGACCATGACGCTTCTAGAATGAGTTTCAGAATCCTGCCATTGCTGAAAATTCTAGGGAAGGGATCTAGAAGCAGAACCTTCCTTTGTGCATTGCAGGCACAAATGCTCCTAATGAGAAGGCCAGGCAGCCTTTTCTGAATGAGAGGATGAATGCTGGGGAAGATAAAATTGGTATGAGATGCCAAGGATGAGATCCCTTGATAAAGGGGTATTACACTCATCAGAGAAAAGGAGTAACCTTGGAAGAGGCTACTGCTCAGCAGTTGTGACTCACCCATGCTCCTCACCTACGTGTGTGCTGGTCCAGAAAGACTATGAAGAAAACAGGTTCTTACCTGCAAATGTGGTTTTCCAAGAGGCCATCTGTATATTCGTACTATCTGCCCTTCTTCCCCTTTCCAGTGTCCTACACAGGGGCAGAACCCATGTGCATGTGACCTACAGAGATCCTGAAAACCGCTAAAGATACGAGCACTACAACTACATACAAGTAGGAACCCCAGCATACGACCAGGAGGACCCTTTAGCATCTAGCTGGTCCAAAGCTCTCATTCATGAAGGCAAGGTGACTGCATGACACCACCAACAAAAATGCTAACTGTGTGTACAGGCCTTCATGCATAGGCTTCAAAAAGCTTGAGAAACGCACAGTCATAAACTTCGGTGCTCACCAGTATCCTGCTATTTAGGAATACTGTGTTGGAATGTTTGGTATTGTAATTCAGGGAAATATTTATGCAGGAGCTATTCAGCCCTCCACTCAGAGCACACATATTGTAAGGCAGCTTACAACATGACAAAAACATGAACATGCAATTACAATTAAACATGCAAGCACTCAGAGAAATAGCAGCAACTAATAACAACTAAGCACCAAATGAGGACAGAACGAATGTCTTTAATTTTCTTTAAAAGCCAGCAGGGATTAATTTGCATGCATCTCTCTGGAAAGTGTTGGACACCACTGAGAAAGGCTACCAGGTATTAGGAATGGCACTAACAGCTACTGCTGGGGGACCATTGCAGTGGGCATTCCAATGCTGATCTTAACACCTGGGCAGGCATGTGGGCTTCATTTGTGCTTCCAAATGAAGCCCAGAGCCTTGAAGGGGCAAAATCAGGAACTGGGCTCCAGAACGAATGGATAGCAGTGGAAATGATTCAGAAGTGGTAATCAGTCAAGGAGCCAAGTTCCCTCAACTCTTCTGTCCTACACTGTAGCAGTTGCACTTTCTGAATAGTCTGCCAGGGAAACCCTTTATAGAGCACATTACAGTAATTCAGGACAGACCAAACCAAGGCGTGCCATGCCATGCCATGGGTCAGAATGGCTATGTGAGTTTTCTCTAGACGCTACGACAGCTGCTGAATCAGTCTAAGTCGAAAAAGCCACCAGCTGCACCTCTGTAGAAAGTGCCAAGCTCAGGGGCACTCCCAGACTGCATACCTGGCCCTTCTTTTTATGATACACATTTTAAGTATGTGTTCATATGTTCCATATGCTTCAAGGCATGGTAAACCATGCTGAACCTTTTGGGGAGGTAACATTAAAATGGGCAACTTTTTTTTTCTTTTTTGTAGTGTACTGGTTAAGCACACAATATAGTGTACCCACCTCACTGGAAGCATACACGTTGAGCAAATCTTTGGATCATAATGTGCATCAATGTGAAGTGCTTTCCCAGTGCGATGCTAACATGCCAGAACTTCCAAGAGATCAGGTCTAACTTGTTCAACTGACTGAAAGTGTCAAGGGCCTATCATATTCTCTCATGAGCTTTGCAAACTACAGAACATTTTCACAAAGTAAGAGGGGATATAAACCTGAGCTCTAATTTAGGGTTGGAAGAACCAGCCCATTCCCAGTAAATTATGACACCATGCATCACTTTTATGCAGCAAGTTACATCACTCGATGGCACAAATCTGACACCCAATGGCCATTTTTGGAATCAAGGTTCCTAAGACATTAATAAGCTTAAGGTACAATCTATGCAAATTTAGCTATAAAAGGCCAACAAATTCTGACATGTCCCAGCCATGGGAATTGTCGGCTTTTTTTCTGTCTAGGATTGCACCCTGATTCACCAAATTCTGTTTATACAGAGAATCAGTGCCTGGCTCAAAGGCACCCAGTGAGCTTCATGGACAAGTGCAGACTAGATCTTTCAAGTCCCAGACCGGCACTTTAACCACTATGCTACACTGGTTGTAAATATCTATTGTGGAGTGTAGGAAATTATGAGACGTATTTCCTCTCTCCAGCACCCAGTTCTAGCTTGCTCTGTGTTCCATGTTTCATGTTAGAGTTGTAGCTACTGCACTGATTCACATTCAAGATGGAGTCATTATATCACCCCATTCACGTGTGACCACTACTGCAAAAATCAACTCACTTATTTGAGAAGGATGGCCCTTGTTTCCAGTCCATCCAGACATGACCATTCTCTTAAGAGAATGCTTACAGTAGTGTGAAAGAGGTGGTAGGAACTAGTGTGACCCTTTGAATTAATTTGCCTCAATTCCATATTCCTTTGCTCTTTCTTACATACTTTCTATAGGCTTGTCCCAATCCCATCTCGCTGAATTTGCCCAATACTTCCAACAGTCCCTAGGAGCACCTGATGTTCCCAACTCAAATTCACAGGCTTTTCCTTACTCTTCTTCCATTGGACAATCAACTTGATTGCTTTTTATTTGGCCTTCTTACCTATTACAACCTGTACACTGATAACACAAAGCAGTTTACTGGTTAACTTCTGACAATATCGCATCCGCCACTGCCACAGAAACCCCAGGATTTCAGCATGCAGCCACATTCAGAGCCTACAAGATGCCTTATGATCACCAGGCATGCCTTCACACAGCCAACATGTTTACAACCACAACCACACAAAATTTAACCTCTTTAATTATCAGGATACCTGATGGATTTTTAAAGATTTGCTTTGCAGGCTCTCACCTTTGTGTCTTCCGTCCCATTTCAAATAGCAACACTTTCCTGCAGCCCAATTCAACTCTATCCTCTCAGCCACAAGTCTAAAGAAAGACACTTTAACATTTAACATTTAAATGTGCATCATGTATCTTCTCTTTTGTCTTCCAGAAGCACAACAGATGGCAAATTGTTGTCAAGGAATTGGGCTATATTTTACTTTGTTTGAAGGCATGGTGGAAATACCTAAAATACATACATCTCAAAAATCAGCAATGTGAAACTATCAGTATAAAGTATGGGAACGCTGGAGAATATTCTTCATATGCTCATTTCATAAGGAAAAAATACTAGGTCTGTAAATGCCTTTCTGAAGAAAAACATGGCTTTAAACAGAAGTGGATTTCATGGCTGGTCGTTGTATGAACCAGCTGGTATGAGCGTACCTACGATAATCAACTGATGTCCTCCTCAGGGTTTTCCCCCCAAGGAAGGCTTGGGGGTTGGCAACAATGGCTGTTTTCAGTAATGTCCCTCCAATCACAGAACAGTCACCCCAGTGAGGTCGACCTGGAATCAACACCACATGAAGACAACTCCCAGGTATTTGACAGCATATAAACTTTTAACTTGTCTTGTGTTCAACTGATTTGTGGTCCACCAATAGAACACAACTGAACTGTGTTCTAATTATACGTAATTGTTTTTATATTGTGTTTTAAACTGCATTGTATTTTTAAGTTGGGGGTTTCTTTGTAAACCACCAAGAGAAAATTCTAAAATGAAAAAATAAAGGTTACATTAATGTAGCTCAATGCAATTTTTTTGTGCAGCCAGACAGAGCCTTCGAAGATTGTTCAAGGATTTTTGTTCTGATATTCCTATGACCCTTCATGCTTTACAAAGATGTACTTATACAACACATTTTGACAAGTGTCAGACATTTCCAATTTCACCCAAGCTTCAGAAAAATCCAGCTGGATTTTCTTCATATCTCAACGCTTTGGCCTTGCAGCACATGTATCTTATGACAGCAATATACTTGAAAATACTCTAGAGAATGCTCTCCCACTCACATTCCGACAACGCAACAATGAAAGCAGAATGACAGTGCAGGAAATGGCATGGAGAAAGATAATGAAATGTGGCAGGAGAGGTCAAGAGCAGATCTCTCGCTCAAACCTGTGTCTGGTAGTTTTGCTTTCCTACAGAGAAAGAAAAAAAAACCTGATGAATTATTATCAGTCCAAGATTCTACATCTGATCATTCAATCTATAAGCCACACACAACAAAACTAGTACTTGGTAAAGGCAATGTATATTTATTCACTTTACAAAGGAGGGCAGTATTTGGTTGCAACAGCTCCAATTATAGACAAATATAACTGTACATTATACTGGTGAATGGCTCAAAACTTACCCAATCTTGCACTTAAAAATTGTTTATACCAATTCAGCTTAACTAAGCTAATAGCAACTCTCTGTTCTGCCCCTAAGTTTAAAAATTCACAATAAATGTATACGCTGTGTTACATTATTCACAAGCAGTTGCCCTCCATTTTTCATTATTTTTTTAAATCCATGCTTTCCCAGAGATAAGCATGTTTAGGACCCTCGCTCTGGAGGCCAGCATTAAACTTATATACAAGCTCAATTAAAACAAAAAAGTTAGGAGCCACCAATGAGTCTATTTTTTCTTTTTTAGGTACAAGAAAAGTGACTGATTTACACACACATATATAAAAAGTCAGTTTGGTTTTAAAAAGAAAATGCTGTTCTCAATTTGGTTGGCATTGTATCACTGCCAAGCCATGAATTCTGTTATGGGGAAATGGATGCTTGCAGAGAGGGAAGAGGAAGAACTATTAAGAAATTCAACAGGAAGGTTTTACATCTTACAAAAATATTCTCTTCCAAAAAATGTAGCAAGATGTCAACTGGAAAAGCACTTAACTAAAGTAAGAAGATACAGTCTTCAATCCATCACAATTTGGAACTCATAAAATAAAGCTTCAACAAGTTTCAAAGGGCCTTGGCAAGCTATTTCAGTTGAAATGCGAAACGAATGTCCAGGTAAGACAGAGATTTTTTTCCTCTATGTAGAAGTGTTTCATTGTGTACCAGGAAGAACAGGATGGAGAAAAAAATGCAGTCTGGTCTTGTTACACATTCTGGGCTTGGAGATGCCTTGTCCAATCTCGTGCCACACACACTGGCCAGATATCAAATCTGCACTCCCTTGTGTGGTGTGCGTGCCTTTCAGCATGGCAATCCAGAAGTTAGAAAGTGTTAATGGCCAGCTCCAGCAGGTTTAATTTCTTTTAAAGTGTGTGTTATTCTTCTTCACTTTCATTTTCTGGGTCCAAATCTGATTCTCCATTGATTTCTTTTTCTACAGCCATCTCTTGCTCATCATCTGATAGATCGTCTTTCTCTTCATTCTCCTCCTCCTCTTCGTTTTCATCATCTTCATCCCAGTTCTCCTGTAGGAGGGAGTGACAAAACACCTCAGTACTGCAGTCACTTTTAACCACCCAACCCCCATGCATAGGAAACAATATGAGGGAAGTTTACTTACATCTGAATCTCTTTCTGCAGCCATTTCATCATCTGAACCTTCTTCTGATGATTCTAAAGTAGAGAACACAAGTGCTTGATGGAGATTTTTCAACCAAATGCAAAGAGCATGCTAATCGCTACACATTTAAACCTTTAAACCATCTAACATTTAAACCACCATTGTATTTTAGTAGAGTGAAACTAATTTTGTTGACAGAGGAGGAAGGGATTATGCAAAGTTCAAATTCAAAAACCAGTCCTAAAAATCTAGGACCAATTATAAAATCTCCAATCCTTTCAGGAATGGGATTAACAGGCTGGTTTCAGTCTGTTACTTAAAAAAAATCCCCTTAATTATTTTCCCTGAACAAACCAACCAGAGAGCTTCCATGGTTCACTCACCAGTTTTGACTCAACACTGCGGTACTACAACCAGGCTACCTGAACTAGCAATTTGCATAAGATGGACACATTTCCCACACTCTCCGCACTGGCTGGTCCAATGGAAGTCCAACAAGGGCTGAGGTTCCCCAACCACAGGGCTTTATTCACATTTTCTTCCACACCTTTTTCATTTGGGTGGAAGAAGTCAAACTGCGCCTGCTATCCACCCCCAGCCCCAACAAGGGTATGTCTGAGCAGGATGTCTGAGAGGGAGGCCTACTCTTATACAGAAGTATGCACAGATCAGAAAGCATCTCTTTTCAGACATCCCACTGATGTGCAAAGGGGTGGGGGCACGATGAGTAATGTCCTTGACAGCCTGGCACACATAAACATTATCGGAAAAATAATTCAAATAATGAACATCATTGCCCAAAATGCAGAATCTCTACAATCCATTTCACATGATGAGGAGACTGAACTGAAATGTGTACCTCTCTCAGTACGAAATGGAAGAGCCACTAACAGAACATAATATATCACATTTCCTGATTGTTCCCAAGATAATTTCACTAAAGTCACTTTACTTACCTTCTTCATACACCAGCTTTGCTGTCTGATCAACATCAGGTACATCTTGAGCCTGTTCCAACGCAGCAACCTGAAAAGAAGTGAAGGCCATCAGTTTATCAAGTCAAGCTGTTCTGCATGTAAAGCTTTCATTATTTCATAGAAAAAAAAGATCTGTGTCTAGCTACAAAGAGGTACTACACAGAGTGAAAAGTCTGAATCAAATAAAAGCAGGTGTTCTAAAAACTTTAATAAAATGTTTCCAAGTTAAACTTTGTTCTTTAATTTAGGAAAGCTTTTTAAAATTTGTAAGTACAAATTAATGTTTAAAAAATCTCAATTTAAAGCAGCATGTTTTTGTAATAAAAAATGATCACATTATGTATTAAACGTACTTTTAATTTCCAGAGGAATATCCCTATCAGTCTATGGCAGATTCCTCTGGAATCTTAAAAACTAGCAATATTTCTGAGGCATAAGCCTTTGCAGACTTGAACTTCCTCTATTCCAGTGCACTCGTAACAGCAGCAAATAATGGTTGGATTAACCCATGATTTGGTGCAGTGTGTCCCTTGGGTCTCTTTGAATATGAAACCTCCATTGGCTCAACTTTATGGGCTAATAACCATTAGTAGCTATATTAACTGTGGGATGTTTAATTGACAATTAAGTCATAAGTCTGGGTTTGGACATCACAGAATACCCTCCATTTGGTGGCTGTATATTCAAAATGGTGATAGCATGTACTATGACAAATTTTGGGTTAAGTAACTTATATTACGGATGAATGAGGCATCCACCGAGAGGTGGGAATCTCTCGGATTCTCTGGGCTTGGCTCTCCATCATCCGGCTGTTTTGCAGCAGCCCAAAGTCTGGGTTCCTGGCAAGCATGCCGAGCAGTCATGGGGTATTTACCAGGAACTGAGTCCCATGCACTGCACAAGCAGTGCCCTTTCATGAAGCAGGAACAGCTGCTGTTCGAGTGGCTGTATTCATGGACTTCCTTTTGGCTTGGCTTGCTTTGGAAGACCAGGCTGAGCACAAGAGGAAGCCTGCAAATGCTTGGAGGGATGGATTCCAACTAGGTTCATCCCAACCCTACTTGTGATTTCTTGTTATTACATGTGAACAGGTCCTCTTGTAGCTGCACAAAGTGTTATGCTCAGTGGACAGATGCAATGTACTGAGAGTAACACTTCATGATGCTGACAAAGTGGGCTCTAGCTCACAAAAGCTTATTCCACAAAAAACTGTGGCGCTCAAAGTGCTCCAGGAGTTTCTTTTCAGTCCTATGTTATTCAAATCAATATTTTATACTCCAGAGACTAAATAAACGTATACGTCAGAGAAAAATAGCACTTTGGGAAGACAGTAACATCTCCAAATCTCAAACCCACACTTTAAAAGAAATTGCTGTGGGAATACATGCTATAAACCTGTTTTCTTTTTTTGCTGGTATCACCAGATGATGCCCTCTCTAAAAATAAACCAAAGTGCTGGTTTCAGCATTATTAATATAGCTATGCAGCAACTCATCAAATTACTAGTACTGAATTTTGCTAGATTAAACAACGAAGGGGAACAGAAAGTCTCTAAAAATATCAGACTGACCTCTGGCATGAATGGGAGATACAGCCAGCTGCTATCAAATTATCTGGAACAATGGCTACTGTAGATCAAGATGGTTTAATCTATTTTTGATAGCATACTCCAGCTTAGTTTTTACAAATGGCAATTCTTAATTGAAAGAACAGCATGATTACAATGTAGGGATGTGCACATGATTCAGACAAAGCACGAAACCTGGGAAGACGCAGGTTTACTTTCTGGCATTTTCTGAGGCAAGGTATAGTTCCCTCCTACACCACAAGAATTGAAGCTGGACGCAAACAAGGGGTTTTTTGTTTGTTTGTTCTTTTTTTTTTAACAAAACCATGCTTTGGAGACTCACTAATTTTATGCTTCCTGCATTAAGTTTTATTTCTGCAGAATGCTGATTACAAGCTGGGGATTATGAGGAGTGCATCAAGGTGACTGACAAGGCTACTTTCTAGTCCTAGGGCGTATTTTACCAGGGCTTCCATGCATGAATTCTGGCACATCTGGAGTATTACCAAAGAACTTTCCATGCTTTCTGATAGTGGATCTCACTATAACGTATCTCTATTCCACATTCACATCCACCTGGTGTGTCACACTACAGTTGCAACTCACCTGGGTTATAATAAGATAGAGTTTCCCATGCAAACGAGAGAGTTTCTGCAACGTCTTCACTCTGCTCTCCATTAACTGATATAGCATTCCCAGCTGGGGGACCAGATCTGGCAACTGGGTGGGGGGAGGAATGAAATGAAATGCTTATCAACAGCCAAAGCAGGTGACATGAAACGAAACACAGGAACACTTTTTCAGCATCAAGAGCTACCAGCCCAAGTATATGTGTTTGTGTGCAGGTCACTTGTATGCAAATCACCTGTTTTGAAGACATCCCTTTATTTATTTATTTATTTATTTATTTATTTATTTATTTATTTATTTATTCATTCTTTCTTTCTTTCCTTCCTTCCTTCCTTCCTTCCTTCCTTCCTTCCTTCCTTCCTTCCTTCCTTCTTTCTTTCTTTCTTTCTTTCTTTCTTTCTTTCTAAGCTTTATCTTTATTTGGCTATTTGGATACCTGCCACAAATACTGTACTGTGCGTCTTTGCTCAAGTTTTTCTACTGAACTGCAATACCAACAAATGAGTCTCTCCTCTGAATCAAACGTCACTCTCCTTAGGAAAAGAGAACTGTACAGAATTCTTAACTTTTAAAGACATAACAATGAGAAGACTAGATGGACCTTCGGTCTGATCCAGCATGGCTTTCTATATTTCAAAGCTCTCACAGTCTCAAATCAGTATTGTTCAGCATTACAGAATTGGTGCCACGAGTTCAAACCCTTGGGGTAACCAGGTAGTGAAATTTCTTCTATGTTTTGTAAAATGACATTCTACATCCTGCTTTTTCTGCCCCAACTTGTCATAAAATTCTGAAGAGGTGTAGCATGCGATCAGCTCCCCATGAGCAACCAAGTCAAGTATAAAAACCTTCTGTTGTGTCTTAACATGCAATCCATTGAGTACAATCCCAGTTGGAAAGAGAAAGGGTGCGATCCATTCTATGGCAGCTACTTTGCATGTATCTCACTCCACATAAATGCATAGCAGAAGCACACACTGAGAACAGAGGAGAGAGCAGCAAGCAACTTCCACAACCAATCTCTGTTCTTCCCCCAGCGCCAAAGGCAGTTCAGGCACTTTCCTCCTGAATTTGTGCTGTGTTTGTACAACACAGCACAAATTAATCAAGACCACGACCACCCCTTCCCCTCTGCTTTTTGGAAAGCAGAGGGGAAGGAGGAATGGAGAAAAATGTGTTCTGGGCACTGTTTACATTTGTGGAATTGCTAAATAAATTCTGAAAAGGGGTGGGAAACAGTTTGGTAATTCATGTACTTACTGTTGAAAGGTAGGATGCGTGTATAGTTAAAACAGACTTTAGCCATCGAACCATTTGGGATGCACTGGAAAATAACAGTAAAGAAAATTATCCACATGTTGGCAAAGGTTAGAAACATAAAGAAACAAACAAACAAACAAACAAACAAAAGCCACTTTGTATCTCAAGATCATCAATCCAAGCTGCACTGTACAAGGATATGCAACTTTAGGCCAACACACTAGATTATTACGGATTAGTATCTTCTGCTTCACAGGAACAGCATTTTTTTAAAAAAAGTTTTGGACTCTTGCAATATTAGCAAAATGGAAAACCTGTGGACACAATTGGTTGTTATTGGCTAAGCCAATACTGGGGATCATCATGTTCTGTGCTCCTCTTGCTTCCAAGTGCCTCCATTCAACAGCAAAGGCATCACTGGGGAAGTGAAGATCGAGCCAGAACGTGTCTCTTTCACTTGCCAGACTTCCCTCCTGGACCTTGCCCTTGTCAGGAAGCAGGTCGAGCTGAGAAGAAGTCCACAGATGCTCAGGAACTCTAGCAGTTTCTTTGTGCAAAGTACTTAACTCCTTGCACAAAGTATGCGAGCCTGTTAGTTACATGTGTGGAAACAGAAGTTCACTTGCACAGCAGAGAGAATGTGTACAAGCTGGCCTGATACACTCACTTCCTGCCGGACACCCACGCAAATGCTCAGTGCAAGGCAGACTTATGGCAGAGAAAGTAGGCTGGAAGTTCAGGGAGCTGAGCCAATGAAATCTGACAGATTCCTGCCCTCAAGCCAGATTCCTCACACATCACTAGGCATCACCACCAATGTTCTGGCTTCAGTGGCTGCGCAGTGAAGTAACTCGGAACCCCATGCCAAGCAGCATCCAAAGAAGCTTCCTCCCTCTCTTCTCTTTCCTACAAAAAAGAGAGTGCCAGCTAATGCTCAGGGACAACTCCTTAAAACTGAGCAGTAGCTGAAAACCTTATTACTTGTTTATGCTCATCAGAGGTTTGTTATGTCCGCAATAGCAAACATGATGAATGAAGCCTGCATAAAACTGAATTGCACCAGGAACCCTACTAAATTCTTAACACACACTGGGACTAAAGCAGGTATCTGTGTATCTTACTTTCTCAACTACACATGATTGTACACATTTGAAGCAGCTTTGCCTCATCTACCATCACCAGATCCTATCTTCATGCTCTACATGTCATAGTCCATCTGATGAGTTCACTGTCACATGACATTTCTGATTTTATGGCATATTTTAGGACACTCAGCAGAAACTATAAGGATCAGATTCTTGGGAAAAATAAGCCTAGCCCTGTATTGTAATGATACAGTTTTGTGCAGTTAGGTAGTAGTACTCTGCACATAACAAATAATATAATAAATGCAATATCCTCAAAATTATTTTTATTAGAAATAATATCTGTTCTAATTTTATGAGCCTTTTCTCACAATCACAAAAAACCAGCAAAATCCAAAAAATGAATACACACAACTCTAGTCCCCCTTAAAATAATCTAAAGCTGGAAGGGAAAGTTTTAAAAAAGAGTTCAAGTCTTTCTTTCATGTTTTAGTGAGAAAGCTGAATGACTCCAATTCAGAACTGTCCAGCCAGGAAAACTTTTATATCCATACATGGTCCTGAAAACGGCACATTTTCTTCCCTGTCTAGTTCCCGCTCTGGAGATATGTGCATATAAGTTACTGTATGTGCGGGATGTACAAGGAATCATGAGCATAAATGTGTTTTATCTTTATTTCTGAAACCCATCCTGGAATTTCCACTGAAGAGAAGTATACAACACTTTACAATAACAAGTCAGACATGCAGCCGAGCATAGCTGCCAATGACCAGCACTTTGAAAGGGAAATAGATTCAAATACACATTTTGGCATTACCAGTTAAGCTAAACCATCACTGTAAGCACCATTGCGTCACCTGTGTTTTATCACACTGATATGTGATACATTCAAATGGTAAACTGGACAATATTTTTCCTTTACAATGATGACCATCAAGAGTTTCAGATAACTTCTACTTACCTGTATGGATGACCTTGAAGCCTTTTTGTGAGCTAAAAAAAGAAATTAAAAAAAAAAAAAAACAGGCACTGAGGTATAATCGGAATCTGATACAACCTGTTCTCTTTAGCAAGATACACTAAAGACTTCCTTCAAAACATTTTTAATGAATTAAACCTTCTGTGAGGTATGCTGCCAATGTATTTGGCATCAAAACAGCAGAGTTTCACTACTGGGGCACAAAAAATAGAACAACATACAATGTTTCTTTCCAGTCAAATCTTTGTGGTTTATAAAACTTTGCACCTTAACATCGGCTGAATGAAAGATGGATGTATTCATTAAATACTGACTTCAAATTTCAAGTTCTTTTATTTTTACATCTGTCCAAATAACAAGAACCCTTTGGTTTAATTTCTGGGCCATTCAGCAGGTTTGTTTATAGTGCAGTAACTCTGTTGAATATTCATAAAGTCAAATACAATTTGATAAAATATTTTAGGCTTGAATACCAGCATGAACCCTGCTCCCATTTTCAAAGGGAAAATGTAAGATACATTCCTTTTATCCATAAAACAAAACAGACAGGAGCAAGTAAAGGCTACTTTTCTTTATTAGTCCAAACAACTTAAAATGCCTTCTAACTAATAAGCTTAATGTTGATAAGAGCTGAGCAAGGCCCATGGATAGGGTATTTTGGAAAGCTTTCATTCATAGGTTTTCCAGAAGTTGGTGATGACTTGATGGCACATAACACCAGAACAATAAACTTAGTATCACACAGCAATCTCCACATCTGTGTGTGTCATAATAGAGCAAGACAACGAACTGCATTCACATATAACAGATCCTGCATATCACTGTGGCGTTGCTATCATTTTCAGAACTATCAATTTGACTTTGATGTTGCACTGGATTTTGTGTGACAAGAAATGACTAATTTGTGATAAGATAGTCAAGCCACTCCAATTTAACCCACTACTCCATTTTTAAAGTTGGCTACAACCTGATGACCTCAAATTTGGAGAACCAAAGGCTACCCAATGCCACACAGAGAGCACTACATCCACATCACCCCGTTAGCTGTGTAATGTGCATTTGGTTTGCTTGAACCATATATAGAAGGCATTCTAGAATCTAATACTTACTTCATGCAGCAGTGGAATGACAGCATACACAGGTATTCTGGCTACTGTTTTCTTTATTATTGCCTCTTTTTTGGTTTGCAGCACTTTCTGTTCAAAGAAAGGAAAAGGATCATGAAGCAATGAAGTTACCAGGTTAAAATCAACACTAAAATGTACCTACAATCACAGCCTGGAGTGGTATACAAGCTAGCATTCTGTTATTCAGCTGGCCAGACAGGAGTTCAAAACACTCATCCATGAAACTCAGTGGACGGTGGGGTTTGCCTACATTAGTAATTATTCTCACAACCTGAACATCAAGAAAAGGAGGGGGGGTTCTATTTTGCTTCCAGCTACCAGTACAGTTTACAAGTTAAACCTGTGGACAGCCACTAAATAACAACAGGGACCTGTGTTATTTAAGAACTGTTTTCCATATTAGCATTTCTCATGGCATTTCTCACTTCTACTGAAAACTCCACACATATAATAAGGAACATACACAGCCACCTTAGCTTGTAGCAGACCACTGGTCCATCTAGCTCAGTGCTGTCGGCTGGCAGGATTTTTTCCAGCCTACCAGAATATGCTGAGGAATGAGAGTGGGACTGAGCCTGAGAAATTCTGCATGCAAAGCAGGTGTTCTATCAGCGAGTGAGGGTCCCTCCTTTAGGGAAGGGAAGTCAAGAACTGTTACACATCTGTTTTCAGTGTGCTGGTTTTCTAGATGGTGGAAAGGTCTATCTACACAGATTCTATCTCCAGCTTATCAAGCTTGTTCAGGAACTGCTGTTGTTGCTGCTGCATTATTTTTTTTTAAACAGTTTGTAACAGACATCAAAAAGTCAGGTGTGAAGACATCAGCCTCAAGCAAAGCCTTCTGAAAGAACAACTTTCCATTCCAGGTGTTTGTAAGGATAAAGGTGGCAAAAAGGATGTGCTTACATTTAAAGGGGATTACTATAACGTCATATACAATACGTGCAAAAAAGGTCATCCTTGAAAGGATCTGTCTAGCCTGACAGATATCCTAAGTCTGATGGGTCTTCCATTAGAAGAGGTAACCCTATGCACATTTACTTGTAAGCAGGTTCTATTGACCTCAATGGTATTTACTTTGTTAGGTTTGCAATTTGGGGAAGGCTTCCTGACCAAGCTGTTCTTGTTACTGGATGTTGAAAAGGTGCTTGAGCCAAGGAGTATGTTTGCTATGCTTAGACGGATATACTAACTTACCAAGTTCAAACATGACAGCAGCTAATTTGGGTTAATTAGACCACTGCATGATTTTACAACCCTGCATTTGTCATAGTGTGTGCTGGGTGGCCATTCTAAATGTGATCAACCTGTGATCGGGCCTTGCTACATCACACTAAAACCTGAATACTATAGGTTATTGACTGATTAAACAACCCACAATGAACAGCTCCATGGGGACTATGCTTGTGTTACCCCGAGTCCAGATTACAGTTAAGCCACTCTATATGGAACTGCCTTTGAAAAGCTCCCAGAAATTTCGATCAGTGCAGTAGGCAGCAGCAAAATTCTCTCTTGGGCCAGCATTACGCAGCACATAGTATTTTCCTTATTTCACAGGCACACGTGACTGATTTGATCCTGGGCTCAATTCAAAGTGCCATTTATTACCATTAAATCTATAAATGATCTGGGACCAAAATCTTCAAAGGCTGCCTCCTCCCTTATTACACTACCAATACCCAACATCAACTGAAGCATCAGATGTGCATGTCTCCTCTTTACTGGATGTATATGTGGTCTAAGAGAAGGAGGTACCAGGTAGGTCACTGGTTTCTTAAAAACTTTTGGCAGGCATTTAATTTTAACTGATCGATTGTTATATCTGCTTTTGCTATCTTTTCAGCTCATTCTTTGATTTTGAATTTTGTTTAATATATCACTTGTTTTAATGGTGTATTTTCCCATTTATTCTAAACTGCCTTGGGTGCAAGAGGAAAACCTCAATAAAGAACATGAAAATACCTACTCCAGTTGTCCTTGTGGTTACCTGGATTATTTTGCAGATGGCCATGCATATGTCTATCTACAATGTGTAGTTGGTAACTTAAGTGTAAAATAGTTTGGCCCTACCTGGTGCTAAGGTTCTATACTATACTTCAAAGGGATCATTGAAAGACAAAATTATAAAAGATGAACGGTTACACATTTAAGCAAGGGTACGCTGGAGATAATGACCAGCAATAATATGGCAATTCCTGTTTAACACAAGCCGCTTACAGTTCATGACATAAGAATCCAGAAAACACTTGGCTGTTTATGGGTTAAACAACCCATAATTAATCACAAAACAATGGGTAATTACCAATGTCAGTGTATTTTCTATTTTACACATCATACAATTCCTTATCAAAGAGTGCATGCTAACCTGTTGCTATAAAAATATTAAAACACAGGTTTACAAGTGAGAATAATTGTAGTTCAATGATAGAGCACAAACTTCACATCCAGAAGGAGCCAGGTTAAATTGCCAGCATCCTCAGATGTGCTGGAAAAACTCCAGCTTGAAATCCTGAAGAGCCACAGCCAGGCAGTGGCAAATATATAGGCCAGTAATCTTAAAACAGATAGGCAGCTTCCAACGTCCCTGCATTACTAAATGAAGAATTTGTATCACCTAATCCAAAAACTCTGGTCACACTGCCTTTGCTACAACACAATTATATCTCCTTGAAACACAAAGCAGGCAACTGTGAAATTAATTGATTCCTGCTTGGTTCTGTATTCAGACAAGAGCACTTACCTGAAAACAAGGGCTACAATCCAATACAGAGTTAGGATTGTGGGCCCAGTGCCTAGACCTTTACAGAAGCAAGGACTGAAAGTACTGGCAAAATAATGTTTCTCCATGATAATGAAAAGTAAATGGCTACATTGTTTAGTTAACAGTCATAAATATTCATAATGTGCCACAATAGTATATTACCTACTTTAGAATTCATGATGTTTGCCTCAAATTTATCCATCCTAATTTTTCCCTTTTATCTAGGCAGGCAGGCTTTAATGAAATGTGTTACTGAGGATCCTGAACTGAGTTTAAAGACACAGGCACAGAATCTGGTGTTTTAACTTGTTTCATTTAAAACTTAACCCATTCTTCCAAAAATAATATAACTGCCTTCTAAAAAATAAAATCTAATTGGCAGCTTTACCACCATAGACACTGACTTACAACAAAGACAGGAAGCTTCTCCTATCCGCCTTTCTCCTTAAATATGTTATTTAATATATTTTAATATTAACCTTCAGCAGAGCTTCCAGAGTGTCATACAGAAGGTGGCCATGCACAAAATACAATAAATACAATTGCTAAAATATGACCATTGACGAGAATCCGCCCCGCCACCACCAAAATACCCTTAAATACTTACATTTAAAATTTCAGGATCATTGCTTTCCAGACCTTGAACCAGAAGCACTGCAAAATTGTCAGTCTGTGGAAGGCCTCCTGGTGATGGTTTCGTTTTCATCACATCAATATCCATTGCGCCAAGGCGGTCCTCAATGCTCTCCTATGTAACAAGAATAGAACCCTGTTATTTACTGAGAAGGTTAGTGTGACAATGGGACAATCCCCCTCGATCAAAGTTTGCTTAGTCTACTGATCCCAGCATCAACCCAGTCAGTTCTGCAGTACAGCTATTGGACTGATGGGGGTTGACTATTTCTTTAAGTCTGCAGAACACACCCAGCATACTCCACAGCAAGTCATGGGTTAATTAATCCATATTTTCTCTCATTACATATGAACAGCTTCAGATACCAACTTACCTCTTGGCCACCCGGCTTCCTTTTAGTTTCAATTTTCTCTTTGCGAGATGAAGTTTTGATAGCTGCACTATGTCCAGGAATCCCAGGCACTAGTGTTTTGACTTCTGAATTGACTACAGGAGTTTTCACCTAATTTTAAAAAGAGAGAGTGAGGTGCATCTGTCCAAGTACAGCTGCTTTCCATATCTCATAACAACTGTTTTCATCTCGTTCAAGCTCAAAATCAGGTCTACTTAAAATCCAAACTCTTATTTTACACAAGACCCACCAAGTAGGTAATGCTGTTTAAACAACCCTACAGAGAAGTTCTCCATTAATACTCTCTTTTAGACTAGAATTTTCTTCACATTCATATGAAGTAAAGTTCATCAGAAAACTGGTCATAATGGCAACTATAACCACTATTCTGCTGTACAGTGTTTAAAAATTCCCTTCTTAAAATCTTTGAACCTAACTGTGAACAAGGGAGGAGAAAATAGCAAGGAAAGGAGTGAAATGGAATAAGATACTCACCTGGGAAACAGAACAGTAAGGCTAACCTAAAATTTAATTTTATCAATGTTCTTTAAAAATTAATTTTAAAATCTGGATGACAAGTTGAAATCTCTTATGTTTTAAAAATGGAAAGCATTTTTTGCTGGAATCAATAAAACTTGTACCAGATACACAGATGATTGGCTTATTAACAGCTGAAAACTAATACCTACCAATGACCTATCAATTGCCCCAGTAGTTTAACACACACCTCTGTTAGAGGTATGTGGTGTATTAATTGCTCTGGAGAGAGTTATGCCTAGATTTCCCTAAGATGCAACGGGCAGTAATGGAAATGTAATGTAAAGTAATAATAGTTGCCAAGGGACATACAAGCTCTTCAGTTTCTTTCCCCAGGATTTTGTACAAATCAGGAAATAAAGGTAATTAGATTGAACAGTCCTTCAGTCACAATTCTGGAAGCTGGAAAAGACCAGAAAGTGCTTGCCTCAACTTCCCATATGCTTTCCTCTTTGTATTTTTGCAGCAATTTAGGAAAATTAATATGGCTCCCTCTATTTCTTTTTAGTCCACCTAGAAACCTTAGGTAAGAGCAAGTACTTCTGTTCAGTTATACTGAAACTTTGGGTCTTCAAGAGACACTAACAATTCAAATCCTGAATTATGAAAAGAAACACTGGGAGAAGCACCACATTACAAGAAGTTATGCTAGGACTGAGGGTCGCATATGGTTCAACCTACTACACATGGAACTGCAGGAAAAGACAGACAGGACAGGTTAAATGTTTAAGATGCAAAGTCATTCTAACTAGTTTTCAGATGAAAATACTTTATACTACCTAAGAAATCCCACCTTGCTTCAGCTGGCTTTTTTTCTTAGCTAAGCAAAGCTGGATTACAGAACAATGCCACCAATTCCTTGTAGAACACAAGTGAACATGGTTTGGCCAAGCTTGTGCACAAAGATGTCATCTTCTATTATTTGTAATGTGTACAGATACAGCATGAGAGGGTTTTGGCAGATCATTGCATTTTTTCTCACCATAATAATTTGAACCAGTGGCATCATCCCTGCTTAGTAGGTATGCAGGTTAATAACAAAATGCAAATAGTTCTAGATACACGATTTAAGCCAAACTTGCGTATTTTCAGTACTTCCAGGGCAGCCCTATGCATGTCTATTCAGAAGCAAACCACACAGTTTTCAAAGGGGATTATTCCCGGTAAGAATGCATAAAATTGCACCCTCAGTTTGGACTCATCAAGCTGCTGTGCTTATTGCTCATTTTATGCTTTGAAGAAACTATCCTACTTACAAAACAGTCTAGCCTTTTGGTGGGCTTTGATTGGATCCTAATTACAAAGGCTCCTAGAATAGAGAGACACGTCCATATGAGAGAGATATTCCTTTCAGCTGTTTGGCATGCTCAGACAGCCAAGAGAATGTGTCATCATTGGAATTCGGCAATAAGCGAAACCAAGATGGAGGTCATCACAGCACACCCAAGGATACTTAAGCTCTCCTTACTGTTCATTTGTACAAAAAAAAAAAAAAAAAGAATTTATCCATCTCTACAGGAAGTCCCAGGGTTATGAATGAATTTCATTCCTGAGCAAATGGAAATTATACTTGCATTTTTCCACTTCTGTGGGGGTCCTGCACCCCAGCCCCAGGAATGTAGGGGGTCAACTAAGTAGAATATGACTTACTTACATCTTAAACTTAAAGATGATTTTTTGTTTTCACAAATATCTCTAGCCCCACTCCCACCCAAACTCACCAGTGCCACCTCTCTGCAGCACAGAAAAGCTGGAGAGATTTCCCTCTCTGGATGGGCAGGGTAGGAAGGCCTGCTCTGGAGGCCCTCCCTTGCTCCCCTTTCACTTCCTCTCTCTCTCTATGGTGATGATGATCTCCTATATTATTATTATTTTTTAATTAACAGGCTTTCTGGTAGTTCGTTCATAAATACAGGTTGTTCGTAACCTAGATGTTCATAACTCAGGGACTGCCTGTACTGGCATGCAAGAGAATACTTTTCTAAGGAACCAATCATGAAACCATCTCACAAGCATGTTTCAGAAAATGCCAACAGTTCTCTTCATGTACCTAGACACCAAACACTGGATGAAAACATAGATTGATAGATAAGGCAGAATGAAAGTGTGCAAGTTAGAGTTATCCAAGTAAAATGCAGCTTAGGTTCAGTTATCTCCATGTAGGAAACACCAAACTATTTATAAAATATGCCTGTTGCTGCCATCATGCCATTTTATTCTATTCAGGATAACCAACACCTCCATTAGAAAAAGATCACTTTAGAAAACAGGAATCAATTGCAAAACTCACCTTTGTTACCACCATTTCTGTTTTAAGTGTCAGGGTCTTCTGAATGTCCCTTACTAAGCACACATGCGATTCTGTAGTATTCAGAGCCTGTAACAGGGATGGATGAAAACACACTGATTTCAATGCCTTTACACATCATATCAACTTTCAGTCAAAGTATGCAACTGGTTTCAGCTATGGAATAAACTCTCACACAAAAGATATTCTGGTTTTCCTAGTCCCAACCTAGTCCCAATTTATTCATATATAAATTATGTTTTTATTTATTACTGAATTTATATTCTGTTTAATCAATAATCCAGCAGGTCACTGTAAATTAAGCCTGCAAATATATATTGCAGCAACATCACAAAACTAAGGGAAATATAAAGTCCCTAAATTTTAAAATTCTGAAGCAAAGTTCAAGTTTTAAAAAATATAAAGAATATCTGATAAAGCATAGCATGAAATAACAAAGAACTCAACATAAAGAATTTCATTTTCAAGTTCTGTAATCAAGATATCAGCTTTGAATTCAACAGGGCCTTACATACCACTCTCTCAAGGACAGGCTGTAAGGAGTTTCCATATACAAGTAGCAAAGATTCTTTATCTGAACAAAATGCAGCTGCTAAAACAGGGACAGGCGTGGGTGTGGATTCGTGGCCCTCTCCAGGTGTTGCTATCTGGATTGTACACTTTGATGTCAACGGCTTTTTGCAGTACCTGCCAAGAAAGGAGTCTATTCAGAACAGATCAACTGTAGAGTATTTATATTATGCACTCGTCTCCATATTTTGTAAATCAATTCTTATGGCCTATCATAGCACACAGCAGCCAAGTTCACTTCCAAATATGGCTGTCAATTGCAGGTTAAATGCAGACTTAGTTGAGCAGCTAAAATTAATGCATTAAATTAGGTTCCATGGATTTCAAAGTGTCAAATATGACTAAGTTTGGATCCAGCTTTATGCAAATAGACACTAAGTTGTATCCAATCAGCTGCTTGTGCTGATGGAACAGGGGACCCCCTGGAGAGATAAGGGAAGAAGGGAAAATTCAAATGTGTGAGCAGATGTTAGTTGAAACTCATGGTTATTTGTTTCAGTCAATATACTCTTCTCAAGTATGCAACCAAAGGACTGCAATTATATATTCTAAATATGTGAAAAACCAAACTGGGATCTTATAAGAGCATCAACTGTTTGAAGTATTTTCAACACTGAACTTGCTGCAGTCTAGCTTTGCCTTACTAGTACCCCTTCAGATCTGATAACAAAATCCAAACGAAAATGTGACAAAAGACCTTGATGGAAGTGATCCCACGGGATTGTCCCTTGTTCTCTTGCCTGAGTCCCTCAAATCTGCTCCAGATGGTTAGGGAACCATCTATTGCAGATTTGGGAAGTACACAGAGAGGGTGCTGAAAGAAAGGGAAATCTGTGCCACCACAGTGATGTCCATTCCAGAAGCTGATGGTCAATATTGCATCCAAACCACTAAAACCAAATTAAAGTAAGAACACTAAAAAGGCTGATGCTTAAATACCAACTTACCCATTCAAGACTTGTTCAAACAAGTGCAACTGGCCATCTCTGCATACAACTGCTAGCTTCACTGGCTGAAAAGAGTGAACCGAGTATCAGTGCCAAAAACTACCACCAACCCTGACAAAGGAGGCTATGTATCTGTCTGTCAGCATCACAACTCCCACACTGAGAAACCTAGCCACCTGAAATTTGGCATGCATATTAAGGGACCCTTAAGTTGCATCAGAAACTCAACAGTGGAAGCATAAGCTATGTTCCTTACCTCCTCTTTGCTTTCTGATACCGTCAGGTCAACATGGATGGGTTCATCTGGAACTGTGAAACTCATTACAGCATTCTTTTCTTTCCTGTCTGATCTCACCTGCCTTGAGATACAACAGCATACTTTACACCAGAACTCTAAAAACAGATGACTTATTACAAAGACTAAAACAATTCCAAAAACAAACACCAGTTTCACAAAGACAAACACTTACTATGAAAATAAAAGGTACATGTGATGAGATAATACAAGTCACATAACATGGAGTGCTGTGGAAATTCATTTCTCCATTCAAATGCCACGGAATAGAAGATTTATTTCATATAGTATCTATTTCCTGCAGCAAGCTACAACTCTGATTTTTATCATAGAATTTTATTTCCTACTTTTCAGGAGCTGACACTCAATATTTATTTTTACAGTTTAAATACATACCACACACTGAGCAACCGGTCATGCATTGCTCCAGATAAGAAATAGAGCCCTGTAATTCCATCAAAGGGCTGGTTTTCATTGGAAGGTCGTACTGTGATGAACATAAGCATAGAAACTGCTGTAGCATGTCCCGTGAAATGCTAGAAAAGAAATTTTATTTGAGATAGGTCAGGAAAACCTATATAGCATTACAGTAATTCTTGATCTGCAATGAAAACGTAAGCTAAAAGACTGTATTTACAACAATTCTGAAATGTGTTCTTAGAAAGAGACTTTAACAAAATCAATGGAAGTGTTAATAAGGAATGAATTTAGGGTTAGAATCAGAATGGAAGGCAGCTTAGGGTTAGAAAGCCACTTTTAAATCCAATAGTAATAAGCTTTTATACTCTAGTCTAGAGTTTAAATTTTGTGTCTGAGATAAATGGAGAGAGAAAATGAGAATGAATTTTCTACCAAAAAGTGAAGAATGTAATTTCTTATGGGACCCTGAACAAGTAGTTTTCTGAATCTATTTGAGAACGTGAAGTCAATATCACATGGTGATGTTACTTTACATTTATTACTCTTTCTACAGTTTCCAAGGGAAAATAATACAAAAAGTCATCAGATTCACCCATCAGAGAGGCAGGAAACCTATTAGAAAAGGGTTTTGCCAGATAATGAATTACTACATCCTTGGGCAATGACAGATTTCTTGCCACTCATGTGTTCAAAAGTTCTGCATTCCTACACATGACAGAATCATTTACCCTAATGTATGTGTTCCTGAACTAGGAAAATTATGCACAGGACAATAAATGGACAATAATACATCATCACAAGACCAAAGTCTGAGGTATTTCCTCAATTTTTATGGACATCTTCAAGTCTACATAAGTAATCAGACGTACCACAAAACAGAATACCTATGTTACTTAGTCCATACAAATGAATATAATTTAAAACTCTTGTGTTATATTTCCTTATTATCGAATATTCAAAATTGAGGTTGTGAAAGGCAGTAATTGTTCTTTTTGGCTCCTGAACTACTTGTCTGTGCAAAAGACTTCATCCTGCCCCTCTGATGTTCCCTTCAGAGCACTGTCCTACCTTGATTTGTCCCACTACTCTCACTGAATTTTTAAAAAGGAGGGGCAGCAAGAAAGCATTTTGTTGTGGTTCAGTCACACAGTTGTGCCTGACTCTTCGTGACCCCATGGACCACAGCATGCCAGGTCCTCCTGTCCTTCACTGTTTCCCTGAGTTCACCCAAATTCATGTTCATTGCATCAAGAAAAAGAAAAGCACACCCAGGCTCAAAAATGGGTTCCTATGTATGGGATCTCTCAGAACCAGCTAGTCATACTTGGGTTGGGTGAACAGAATGACTAGTATATTCAGGGAGATCTCATACTGTCTTGTTTTGTACACTACTTGGTAGATAGAAAAAGTAGACTGGAGTTCAGAAATTGGTGAAAAACATGCACATGAGATCACTAAGTTCTGCCGCTTCTCATACTTAATTTGTATGAACAGGTAATAAAAAGTACCTTTCTACACAACTGAGGAAATTATATGTATTCAGGGGCTGCGTAATCAAGCTTGGCTTTCCTTATGCTTGCATCTGTATGTGCAAAATACGAAGCAGCTGTTCAGAGCAAGTGTGATGGCAGGCCGTGGCAAGTGTTCCCACAAGACACTACTCGTGCCACTTTTGATTACTCAGATTCAGAAGAGGAGTATTTCTGTGGAACTGAGGAGCAGGAGGTTGCTCAAGGTCCTGGTATACAACAGGTGAAGATTAGCTCAAGGCAGGCAGACCCTGGGAATAGCATGGAGATACAGATAGTGGGAGTGGGCACTGAGCACAGTGAGTCTAACCCTTGGACTGGCCCCTGTGCCTAGGTGTCAACAAAGGTGAGAGGCTCAATTAGATGAGAAGCAAGTGGAAAAGAGGCAGGCTTGCTTCAACAGTAGCCCCTCCCTGAGGGTTGGGGCACAAACGTGCTCATAAGGAGATTTGGGGATGTAGCTGCTAAACTGAGGTCAACAAACTGCTTTGTGTATGCTCAGAGACTTGTCCGGATCATTTGTGTTGGGAAAGAATAAAGAGTGTTTTGTAAAAGAAACAGCTTGAGGCTAGTGACTGTCAGAGGGAAGAAAAGCAGTTTTTGACAGCAGGCTAGTTACTATACTTGCAAGCAGGAACTTGCTGTGGGTATGTTAATCTGCTGTGGGTTATTAGAATTATTCAGAGTAGCTTATAGTATCTTAAGAATGAACTATCTGGAATCAGAAGTTTGATTTTAGAAAGAAAATATGTGGTCCATCAAATCTCAGATATTTGAATGTAAGGACAATTATGTTATCTTCTTATTGCATGTATATCCACTCTAGCAAGGAACTCAAGGTAATTCTCCTCCTCTCCATTTCATCTTCACACAAACCTGTGAGGTTGGTTAAAATGAGAATCCATGACAGTTCCAAAACCATCCAGTGAAATTCATGAACATGGGGGAACTACAACCCAGACCTCCTAAGTGTCAGCCCAGTACTCTAACCACTGCACAGCGCTGTCAGTTATGAAGACAAAAGGCATATTTATGGATTTGAGGGGAAGACTTGCAAGATGGAATGGCTAGAAAGCATGAAGTCACCCACAACAGACCAATGGGCCACTAAACTGAAGCTCAATCCAGACAAGACGGAGGTCCTATTGGTGGGTGGTTCGGGACTCGGGATGGGGGACTTGGGCCTTGTCCTAAATGGGGTTGCACTCCCTCTGAGGGACAGGGTTCACAGCTTGGGAGTGCTCCTCGACCCTGAGCTGTCTTTAGAAGCCCAGGTGACGGTGGTGGCAAGGAGCCTTCCTTCAGCTTCGACTGATCCATCAGCTGCGTCCCTTCCTGGAGAATGATTGCCTAGCAACAGTGACACACGCGTTGGTAACTTCCTGATTAGATTTCTGCAACGCGCTCTACGTGGGGCTACCCTTGAAGACGGCCCGGATACTTCCATTGGTGCAGAATAGAGCTGCCAGGCTGCTGACGGGGACTGGGCATTGTTCTCATATAACCCCAGTTCTCCGTCAGCTCCACTGGCTCCCGAGTGAAGTCCGGGCCCAATTCAAGGTGTTGGTTATGACCTATAAAGCCCTCAACGGCTTGGGCCCTGAGTATCTAAAGGAACGCTTGCATCCATATATGCCCTCCCGCCCCTTGAGATCAGCAACAGATGCCCTTCTCCGGGAACCCTCTGTGAATATTAGGAGGGTGAGTACCCGGAGGAGGGCTTTCTCTGCGGTGGCGCCCCACCTATGGAATGTGCTCCCCAGAGAGGTCCGCCTGGCGCCGTTATTTGTTTTTCAGCACCAGGCTAAGACCTTTTTATTTAAAACTTATTTTAAGTGTTAATTTATTATGTAGGATTTTTAATAATTTTTAAGCCGAGATGCACTGGGTTTTAATATTTTTAGTGTATAATTTTTGTATGATTTTGTTTGTTTTTGATGTGAGCCGCCCCGAGGCTTTGTTGCGATGGGGGCGGCATAAAAATATTTTAAATAAATAAATAATAAATAAATTATCACTTCAAGCTCATAGTAGGTTGACAAGACACATGCAACTTCCTGGATGTCTACAGAACAACTGAGGGACAAACATTAAGGAAAGTTGGATCATGGACTGCTGAGGATTAGCGAGAGAGAAGTAGAAGCATGTTGCAAATGAAATATTAGTATATAGCACAATCAATGCATGCACTATGGCTGTATAACCACAAGCAAGCCAAATGTTCAGAACTGCACCATGCTACACCCATTGGAGACATTTGAAATATCTTGAGTAAAAGTGTATTACAAGCTCTTGATAAACAAGCTACACACAATGTAATCAATTAGAGAATGAGCAAATACAGAGCAGGTCTATAATCACTGATGGGGTCTGTGCAGACCTTACCATTCCCAGCAAATAGTAATGATAAATAGGGCAGCAGTTATCAGGTGGTTTCCCATTAGCTGCGTTTTAAGAGAAACAACATGATCATAGAGCAACACAATCATGGTTTCAAACCAATGAATGAGAATGGAGATAACCCTATGAATAGGTGTGAGTGAATAACAAATGTATTTCTGTAGAAAAATCACTGACTGAAGAATACAACTTCACAAACCAATACTGATATGATGATGCAGATATCAAAAATATTCAGAAGCTAGTTATTTTTTGAGAAGCAACAGAATTTCAGTATTAAGGGTGTTGCACAAAGGTGAAGTTTAGACTATGATAGATCTTTTACTGCAAACACACTGATTTCCATTACCAGAGAAGTATTTCTAAATGTCAGTGTCACCACTGTAGTGTAACTAATATTAACGTAATCGATTAATAATTTGTCCATCTTGTAATGCTGGAATTGAGAATTTGTGACCTTCCAGGTATTCCTGGAACACCAATTCCCATAATCCTTCACTGGGGATGAGGGAAACTGGCTCTGGAGGGCCACAGATTCCTTCATAGTTGGTGTATGGAGTATCTGGCTGAAGAAATGAAAAATCTGACAGGTGATACAGAGCTCAGAAAGTGTGATCGTGAAGAAATAGAGAGGGGAAATTTTTTACTCAGATATGAAGCTGCTAAGTAATGCAGATAGTTTATTTCTATTGTGTTGATAATTTTAATTTATTTGTAAATATATTTAAGCAATACGCACAAGCTCTGTCTTTATTTCTGTGTGTATGTACTAAATATTCACTGCTACATTTTGACTGCAGTCTAATATTTCAAGTTTCAAAAACAAACTGGACATGGAACCACTGATTGGTTCAAAATTGAGAAAGGAGTTCGGAAAGGCTGTATACTGTCGCCCTGCCTATTTAACTTATATGCAGAGCACATCATGAGAAAGGCGGGGCTAGATGAATCACAAATTGGAATTAAGATTGCCGGGAGAAATAGCAACAACCTCAGATACGCAGATGATACCACTCTAATGGCAGAAAGTGAAGAGGAACTAAAGAGCCTCTTCATGTGGGTGAAAGAGGAGAGCGCAAAAGTTGGCTTGAAACTCAACATTAAGAAAACTATGATCACGGCACCTGGTCCTATCACTTCCTGGCAAATAAGATGGGGAAGAAATGGAGGTAGCAACAGATTTTATTTTCCTGGGCTCCAAGATCACCACAAACGGTGACTACAGCCAAGAAATTAAAAGACACTTGCTCCTGGGGAGGAAAGCTATGGCAAATCTAGACAGCATACGAAAAAGCAGAGACATCACCCTGCCAACAAAAGTGCATATAGTCAAGGCTATGGTTTTCCCAGTTGCAATATGTGGCTGTGAAAGCTGGACCACAAGGAAGGCTGAGTGCCGGAGAACTGAGGCCTTTGAATTGTGGTGGTGGAGAAGACTCCTGCAAGAAGACCAAACTAGTCAGTCTTAGAGGAGATCAACCCTGACTGCTCTTTAGAGGCCAGATACTGAAGATGAAATTCAAATGCTTTGGCCACCTAATGAGAAGGAAGGACTCCCTGGAGAAGAGCCTAATGCTTGGAACAATTGACAGCAAAAGAAGAAGGGCATGGCAGAGAATGAGGTGGCTAGATTGAGTCACTGAAGCAGTCAGTATGGACTCCGGGGGATGGTGGAAGACAGCAAGGCCTGGAGGAATGTTGTCCATGGGGTTGCAATGGGTTGGACGCGACTTCGTGACTAGCAACAAGCCACAATATATTTCAGGTTTCAAAAGCAAACCAACAACTGTTTATCAAAACAAGGTTGATTAGGGATGTGACAAGCCTCTCTGGTGCTTGTCCCTCTCTACGAAAGCAAGCTGAGCCCAAAAGAAGTCCATGAGCATTCATACAACCTTCCACAGCCACCATTTCTGGTGGCCAACCTTCTTCCCCACTCGTTACTACTGGCAGCAGCACATAGAGAAAACTGGTGCCGCATGTAGGCGCACCAGCCACTATTCCCTGTGGCCAACCTCCTTCCATGCTTGCTACTTCTGGTGGCAGTGGCAGGCATGGGAGAATGGGCGGCTTGCACAGTGTAAGCCCTGGGAATGCTTGCCAAGAACTTGGAACTCTGGGCCACTGCAAAGCAGACCAGAGTCTGGGAAGCCAAGCCTAGGGAATCCAGCAGAACTTTCCACCCAAAGCATATTTGTCACATATCCCAAACATTATTCCTCAAAATGGTTACAGTCAAGAAATTGAAACAAAGCACCACTGAAGAGCAGATATACCAAATATCAGTTAATAGTTTCAAGTGATTGATATTTATCAGCTAACACTTGTTTCTCATACTCAGATGAGAAACATTTCTCAAAATCAATACTTCACTTGTAGTTATCGTCTAGGTTCACAAACACTTCTCAGCATGTTACTCCAGAACTATATATGGGTCTTTTGAGGGATGTATGAAAGCCATCCAACACTATCCAACATGGGAAATGATAACTTGTATAATGTTTCTCTTATTTTGGATCCCATTTCTGATTAATCTGTAAGGACTTGTTAATCTAAGTTGTTGAACTGCTTCTTGGATAGAAAGACAAAATTACTTGAATGAAAAGTTATAAAACTAGTGATGTTTTAATGCTATAAAACTACAATTTCAGTGTTATAAAACCACTGGTGTTTTAAGTCAATTTATGTATTACCTTTTCCCATTTAAGGGGTTCAAGCACCAGCAGCAATTTCAACACAACATTCACATGCACGAGGCAAAGCCAATGAGGCCTGTATATTTTATAACAGATAACAATTGGTGAGCCACAGGTTGCTGGCAGCGCTCAGACACAGCCAAGGAATATCATGTCCTCATTCAACTGTCAGCCAGTCGAAACCACAATTGGAAGTCTCATCACAGCAAACTTTCCAGCAGTCTCTGGCCCCTTGGATTATATAATTTAACAAAATGAAACAACATTTCATATTAAGAAGCTGGCAATTCTCTTTACATTACTCCTTGCCTCAAAACAAAATACATACTCTGTAGACTTCTTTGGTCTCTAGGTCCCACAATTTGATAGATCGACCAGCTGAAAGAAGCATCTTTCCATCAGGACTGATGCACAGGGAGCTCACACTGCTGTTATCCCCTTTCCATTTGCTGAGAAATTTAAGACAATTGTGAATAATAGTTAGTACAAATTTATTTAGAATACCATGGCAAGAAGGGAGAACAGTTAAGGACATTTAACAGATAAGATTTCTACAGCCCCAAACATTTCTTTCTATTTATGCTTTGATGAAATTAAGAATTGGTTAAAGGCCCTGTACTTAACAGTTTGTGTATCTTGTGATCATGGAAAAATATATGAACCACAATCTGCATGGCTGCCAATACTCAAATATGTTACTTATACTGAGGATTTCAGGATAAGCAGACAATAGACTAGTTTTCCATTTTTTTAGTATAGGTAGTCCATGGGTTACAGAAAAGTTCCATTCCTGAGAATTTCCCTAAGAGATATTCGCAGCTTTTCTGTAGAGATTTGCTAGGGATAGTAACAGCTATCTTGAGGGAACTATAGGACGTATCTCTAGGGATCTACATGCAACATTGGCAACACATCAAGTGGCAGCCTAGTTCTCTAGAGATACAGTAGTCATGGCTCTATTGAAAAACTGTGAATATCGCTAACAAAAAGCTGTGAAACATGTCACATATTTCCCTAGAGATATTCATGACTTTTCTCTAGAGATATTCATATAGGGTTTATGGCATTTTGCACATAAAATATGAGTTGTTCATAACCCAGACATTCATAAAAACATCTTCTAGCAGCTAATAAACCACAATGAGGAGACCAATGAGTCTCTTCGGGGAGAGCATTACACAACTGGACCTCCATTATTGAACAGGCCTTCTCCCTAGGAACTATCTACATAAGGTCTTCAGTTATCACAGGCCATAAGGGGAAAAAGGAATGAATGTCAGCTTTTAACCTATGCAGACATTCATTAAGTGTATGCCCATGTTACAAGTTTAATGTTTGTAACATCTACTTAGGGCTTCTAATATTCTGAGCCACACATCTTGGTTTAGAAGAAATTCAAAATCAATTCCTTGCAAGAAGCTCAATCACTTCACAGCAGCCAGAAGAGATCAACCAAGGGCTCAGACCATATATTTGGCTGTTCTTTTATGACATGATGAGAGCAGAACATATATATAGCTCTTGCATTTTATGTTGTTCTATAAGAAACCTTGATGGTGAATGTTGACATTCTTCCGCATCCAGGAAATACAAGAAAACTGTGGCCTGCATGTTGCCAATGGGTGACTTAAAATGGATATGAAGCATTTTCAAAAGTGATTAACTGTTATACAGCTGTTTTTCTCAACTGATAAAAAAGTTAATGCCACTGTCACTGAAATGGGATTCATTACTGTTATAATATTACAAGCCATCACAGAAATGCATGGCTATACATTCTTATGGGCATCTGAAAAATGTCATCTCCCTTGCACTTATGGTTTTATTTAACATCCTCTATGTTGAAAATACTCCCAGTACACAGCTAATAACTCAGGAGAATGCGGTAGCATACGCACAAATCCACAAAGCTACAAAACCAATCCATATTGTATCCAACAATACAAGAATACACCTCTGACTGCAACCTTAAACAGGTTTCTTAGGAGGCAAGCCCCATGTCCAAGTTAACAGACTGAGCAGCCATACTTTGCCTTGTTCCAATTATGAAACAAATTGTTACATCAAGACAATTATAAAAAAATAAAGTTTTACTATAATTATCAGGACGTTCTTCACAGGATTTTCTCCCATTCTAATATGTGCCCTTAGAATTTAGGATCTACAAATATTTTCATTGTAAGCATACTTTTTATGTCTAGCCTGTCTCATTCAAAAGATAAGACTGGACAAGTCTTTCCAGTTTAAGTAGTACCAAAGTATAATTTATCTACTAAGGATACTGTTAAAATTGATTTGACTGATCCAACCACACCTTCTTCACTATTAACTGGTATTATCCCTTTGTCAGAGAATACATGCTCCAATACAGGCAACTTTTATTCTTCATAGTTTTTTTTAAAATACAGTTGCTATAATGCAAGATACAGTGGGCTGGATCCAGGCTTTCCTTTTGCCAGCAGATAGGGGAAATAGTGTAAGGGAAACAACTTCAGTTATGCAATGTTTTTTTTTCTTTTATATACACACTTAAGCAGCTTTGTTAGGGCTTAAAAATGCAGTATAAAATGGTTTCATAAAATTCTGCATAAAATACCTATGCATATACATGGATGTGTGTGCCTGTATATCTATACAGATATACATATAGGTGCACTTGGCACTGACACTATTTTCATTTCGGGTCCAGGTCAAAATCTTTTTATTTTCTCATTATTTTAAATAGTAGTTAGTAGTGTTTTAAGTCTGATTTTATATATTATCATCTGGATGCTGTATCTTATTTATTTTATTGTATCACCTCCCTGAGACACTGTGACGGGCAGTATATAAAACCTATAAACAAACAAACATACAAACAAGCAAATAAGATTGAGCAATAGAACTTCAAGTAGAACTGAATGGGATTATACTTTTCCTTATCTTCTACATCTCCTATTTTTAAAATCTATTCTATCTTACCACCTTTCCTTTTAAAATGACAGAAGGGAAAACATTTAATTTACAAATTATTCAGTCATATCACCCTTTGATTCCAGCCTGCTCAGACAGCCAAGAGGAAACTGTCCTCACCACATGTCAGAAGTGAGCGAAACCAAGTGGAAATCATCACAGCAGTACATAAACAAGTAAACTCCATCTACTACTACAGGTTTCAAGTTACAGCACCCACACACATCACTATGGCTGGGTCCTACATGCAGAATCTCAAAGAGATCATAATTTAAGAAATGTACTCACTTTCAAACACTTTACCTTTTTATTGTCCTTCCAAGACAAATTATGGGAAAGCATATTATGTCCTTAATTTTAAATTGGGTATGATGATCAAGAGCTAGATAACCAGCTACGATGGTCACATGTGATTCAAGATGCTGATTGCCCATTGCAGTTTTAGCATATACATTATGTCCCAATCTTAGCTGCATGACAGTAACTATTCTATGTTTTGGAGACATTTATTTCTAAAACTATAAAAGAACGCTGTTGCTGGAGCAGGCAACACTGAATGAGAACACAAATATGAATACAACCATTTGGAGGAGCAGTACATGGACATTTTAAATGGAAAAACCATGCAAAGGTGATTTAAGAAACATTCCCTCTGAGCACACAAGGGGCTGCTTCACAAAGGCATGGCCATCACTTCATTTCTCTGTACTTGATGAGATTCTCATCCAGACTGAAAGCAGCACGCAAACCAGTGGCCTAGTTCAAGTGTCACAAGAAACTTTTTAAAAGCAGGGAAGACAGTGTATGTGAGGGGAAGAGGGAGTGAGTAAACATATGGCTTGTTGTTGGGCCAGAAACTATGGTTTACTGCAGGAGTGGACAACTTTCTTGAAGTTGAGGGCTGCACTGGCTTTTGTGGAGCCCTTCCGGAGCCACATGAGTGGACAGCACTGGTGGTAAACGGAGCAGGGACATACACACCCATTCTTACATGCACACATCCTCTTCCTACAGTCGGGAAAGGGGCTTGGTTAAAGGCTCTAGTCATACACATGCATTCTAATGATGCTGATCAGGAGACCTAGGAGATATTGGTGTCTTCTCCTGCAGCAATCCTGTTCAAGAATGTTCTCTCACTGCTGTGAGCAGCAAGGAAACAGTGATCCTATTCAAGATCACGGAACTGGGGGTAAAAAGACGAAGATACTTTAACCTCACCTCTACCACTTCAAATGGAAATCAGCCTTTTAAAAAGCTTCCCATGTTTTTCTTCCTGGATGGCATGCCTACTTCAGTAGTGTTAAAAAAAAAAAAAACAGCTGTCACTCCCTGCTCAAATGCAACCTTTTATGTAAATGCTGAGTGTGACAATTCATGGACTTTCCACCTAAGATAAAGTGGGAAGAAAAATACTGAGTCAAAGAAATTCCAGTCATCTTAAAAGCAAGGTCAGGCTCACCATTTCACTTTGCATGTCTGGGTGTTCCATTCCACAATGTGTTTGTCATCTGAACAGCTATATAAGCAACCGTTGTCCTGGTGCCACCGTACACAGTTTACTTTACCGTCATGGCCACTCTAAGTAAAAAATGAAAAATACCAAGAAAGCATCATCATATTTGAGTAGGCCTGAACTATACACTCTTTTGTGTCCACAGTGCTTTATATAAAATACACAGCAACACAGTTCCTGTTCCCTGTCAGTTACTCCCAGTGGCTTGGTGATTAGAACAAAATAGAGGCAAATGCATGACTTTCCTAAGAAGGGGCAAGTGATAACATGGAAGCAGTGACCTCATGTTTGCACAGATTCATCCCACCATACAGAAGTGGAATGTGGAGAAGAAGTGCATCTCTACTGCTGCCAGTGCTTATCTTTCACAGCTCTTCTCTCCCTGCAGAGCACAGACTAGGTATAGGCTGACAAAAACTATTACAAACTGGAAAGATATATGAGGTCAGGGAAGGAGCTCAGCACTCCCTACCTATATGCCCCCGTTGCGGCTAAAAAATGACCCTCACACCAACTTTCAGTACAAGTGGAACAGATTTGTAAAGACATGTGCCTGCAGCTGATACCTGTATGACAACTCCTAATAACCCTTTAGGGCACAATCGTATGCATGCTTAGACAGAACAAGTGCTACAACTTCAACATTCCTGGTACTGCTCTTGACCACAACATGACAACGGCAGAGGACGGGAGCACAATTAGAGGATCAGCATGCAGAAAAGAGGCATGTTCATTTCCAAAAGACCCCTCCCAAAAGGATGGGCTCCAAAAATATAAAGAGAGTTCCTAGAAGTAAATACTAAATTGCATTCAACAAACCACTCTGTGCATGCTCAGAGATTCATTCTGGGTGTTTGTGCTTCTGGAAAACACTTTGGTCAATAAAGAACATTTTGCAAGAAAGGACTGTGGCTTTGAATGTGAAAGAGGAGGAAACCTAGCTCACTACCATTTGTGTGCCATGAGGTCCTGCTTCTGACATAGCTTAAAGTTTCCCCTGGTTTATCTTACTAATCCTGCAAGTGCATAGATCAGCATGAGGGTCCCTTAAAAATCACAGGTCACAAAACAGATAGTTTTCTATCCTTTCAGTTCCAAATCCAAGATTCTTTTTTACCCTAAATTCTAACTGAGAATTATTTCTGAAAAACTTTACTAATATAACAGCACATTTACAGAATATACTGGCAGTGCCTGTGGGATCAACTGGAATAATTCAGATCCCCAGGTCACACAGCACTCCAACCTTGCAACTAAGAACTGGAGCTCATTTCCTCTGTTTCCTCACAAAGAATGCAGAAAGAACTGTGCCAGCTGCTCTCCAAGGTCAGCAAAGCAACTGCAGAGAAGGGTGAGGGGAGGAGACTGTAGTAGCCAAGATAAGAAATATCACGGTGGCACTCCAGCATCCTTTCCTTCCCCTTCACCATTAGATGTCTGAAATTGGCTGTCCTGTATAAATTAGAACAAAAGGACTGGGAAGGTATATTGAGCCTGTACTATAAAATGCAGGCCTCCAAAGTGTAGGTCTTACTTATCCTAACTAAACTAATGAATCTAGTTATTTTCTCCTTGCCTTGGCCAGGTGCAGCTGTACTCCATCCTGGACATACACCTTATGAGGCCTGCTAACGACCTTATGCTTTACTGTATGATAAGTTTACATTTCATTCTATCACTTTGTCACCTGAAGCAGAAATAAGACCCTTAAATAAGGAGACTTGCCTGGCTATGGAAGGAAACATCTTACTTATACAGTATGGCTTGCTAATGAGGTAAATAGTTTCACTGCTAATATCACAGCACCTGTGTAACATCCAGCACCTGTCAGGATTACAAGGATCAATGCTTTCCTATCAGTCAATGTTATAAAGCTTCCAAAGTATGCTTCAGTGTATATTTGCTGTAAACATGTAACCTACAGTATACAATTCGGCCATCCCCTTTGTATGTCGTTCAGACTTTGGGCGATGGTGCGGCTGTCATTGTTGTCAGCTCCAACCTATTGTGCACATGTGAGCGTCTGTAAGTTGCTCAATAAAGTATCCTTGTAAGCAAACCTGGACCTAGTTTATCGATTCCCTGGGATCCCAAAAACCTTTGGCCCATGGCCAAGGCAACACAGGAGATAAAGTTCACCTCCACTGCTTCTCTCATATTGTATTAGATGCCCATAAGCATCTCTATTTAAGACCTCACAAGCATCAGCAGAGGTTGTGCCCTTAAGGTACCAATTTCCATTTATAAATCCATAATAACATAGTTATTATGACTGTAGTCACTTGCCATTTATTCATTTAGTTGCAATATTTCTATACTGCCAAGTATTAAAAACCTTAAGCATTTTAAATATAACTATTAACATCACATTTAAAATATTAAGAAAATCACATCTTACAGTTGTGTTACCGTAAGAAAAAATCCAAAATCCATATTAATGTAATACTTTTTTTTTTTTTGCTGCAACTCAAAGGTCACTAAAAATATGCAAGTGTTCAAGATCTCCAGATTGCTTCATCAGACAAAAAAGCAGGTTGGTGGTGGGAATAAGGAGGGGGGAAAGCAGGGTGACCTAATGTTTCAGTCATGAAGTCTGCACAGTCATGGTTGTAGGTGTATATAATGAAGTCAGCCTGAAAGCAGTGAAATTGGACCTCATGAGATGATAAGTTGCAGTACCTCCAGGTCCATGGGGAGTAGAAAAGTGACAGAGTACTGTTGACTCTTTTTTTTTTTAATATAGCTAACTCAGAACTGTCTCCATCCTAAGTGAACAAGACAGACTCCTTGACTGACAGAAATTTATCTTTTAATTTTTTAATTAAATTTTATTCAGAAACTTTTTAATCAGAAAGAGATAAATCAGGAAGTCTTTCTATTAACAAAGACAGTCTTGCTTTTTATTGTTTTGCATAATATCAACACTGTCTCTGTAAATATAAAGGTTGTGGTATTGTGAAATCTATTTTTATTCTACCTGAAATATAATCAAGTTAGTCTAACAAAAACTATGTTAAGATAATGACAATTTATCTTACTAACAGAGAAATAATATTGGTGCAAATAATACTTACTAGTTTGCTCTGTAACTCTCCTCTTATTGTGCTGTATAATAAAATGCTGCCAACTGCTGTACCAATAGCCAAAAGATCTAACTGTTCACCTGCTTCAACAGCTTCAGATTTCCTCTTTTTTCTCTGAGGGCCTTCCTGTAAAAAGACGTTTCAGGAGGTGCCATTAAGTGAGAAATAACCTGATTGGATATATCAAATAACAATTTTAGAAAAATAATGAAACAAAACTTATTTATAACTTAATGAATATAAACTCAGAACATTATATTCAATACTTCATTTCTTTTTGAATTTTTAAGAATGAATAAAATCAACCAGCTGATTTAGCACATTTTTCTGTTCAACAGAGATAGCTCAAACTCCTTTCTGGTAGCCTTTATTTCAGTAAGGTTGACATAACATAAAGAACTTCCATTTTCAAAGTACAAGTTCAAAACATCAACGTTTTACTCTTATTTTTCTCTATTATTTTTATTTAAGATAAAAATGTTCAGCAAAATATCCCAATCACTAGAGGAGGAAGATATAATTTCTGTTTTACTGATGTGATCTAGCAATGAGTGAACAAGAAGGAGATGCTGGAACTTTGTGGCCAGGTTAATGAACATGTCAACCTAGTATGGAGCTGCTGAGGAAAAGGCAAACTGCTGATTAGGCATAATTAATAATAGAAATGAAGAACTGCCAACATCATTCTCCAATTATACAAAACAATTGTGTTGTGATCACACTAAGTTCTGGTCACTTAAAAAATGATATTGCAAAGTTGGAAAAAGTGAACAAATGCCCAACTCATATGATGAGGAGGCTGCAGCCAACTCTGTTAAGGGAGTTACAAAACTTGGATTCTTAAGCTTAAAAAACAGTAAGAAAACATATTCAGAATTACACACCGTGTTAAGAAAGTGGCTATTAGGACATTTTTTCAGCCTCTTGTTCAGAATTCAGGGTCATCCCATGAAGCTAATTGGTGGGAGATCCAGCATAGATAAAAGGACTACTTCACAGAGCACATAGTTAAATTATGGAATTCATATCCACAAAATGCAGTGATGGCCACCAACTTCCAAAGTTTAAAGAATGGCTGACCAAATTCATGGAGGATAAAGCTATCAATGACTAGTCTTGATATAACGGTGTGCTGCCCCTGTATCAGAACCATGGGTGGGCAAAATGGTCCACTCATGTGTTATTTGGGGGTTCCCCATGGGCAGTTAGTTGGCTACTGTGCAAAAAGAATGCTGGACTGGATGTCTCTTGGTCTGACCCAAAGCAGCTCAAATAATGGAAAACTCTATGCAACACAAGACATGTCCTGCTATAAGAAAAATTAATACTGAATTGACAGTGTGGTTCTTAAGTGAGCAATTAGGGTTAAGTGAGCAATTATCTTTATCACTTTAGTTATTTTTAACTGCTTTTATCAGCTTACTTTTGTTTTTCTGCACCCTGTCTTCTCCCCATAACACTTTCTCCTCTTCTGTAAATGTAAGCAGTCTCCTCTGTTGGCATTGCCACGCATCATCACCCCTCCCCATTACCACTTCCTTTCATTCTTTCCCCTACCAACAGGTCTCTGAAGTCCTACCACACTTGTTTCAAATTCTAATATTACTCTCTCATCACAGATCTCATTGTGCATCCATGTCTAACCTCTACTTCTCATTTTTCCCACCACCCAGATAGCTACACTTATCTTATGGGTCTTACTATACCACACAAATCACTCTCCTCTCAGTACTGCTATCTCTGTCAACAACTTCTTTTTCTCTTGCATCTCATAGTACTTTCCCAATCCCACACTTTTTTCTTTGGGTCTCTGTTTTTGTTGTTTTTCTGCCATTTTGTTTTCACCCTCTTCTCATCCTAACATCTCTTTAGTCTGGCAACAATGGTCTGAAAGCTTTCATCCCCTTGATGAATCACATCATAGGGAAAAAGATTCAGAAGCATGTAGAACAAGAAGCATGCCCGAGTGGCTGCAACAGGATGGACCATAGATTCTCAACTAAAAGCATCACACGAAGGGGATATTTGATTTTTCTCTTAAAACTTGCATTTCTGCTATCTGAAATACTAGAATGAAATCTAGTTTCTTAATCTCATTATAACTTTGTTCATTTAGAATTAGACCTGAACTACCAGAACAAACATTAGTTTCCTGCATCCACAGTAGGAAAGGATCACTATAAAGTTTGTTTACAAATCTAATATGCAGATTTTTTAAAAGCCATCTCAAATGTTGTTTAGGATGAAATCCTATGGCTTCTCTAAGGAGCCATAGGATATTCAGGATTCCCACTTCAAGGTCAGATGCAGTGTCTCAATCTTGGAAGACCGGGGAGGGGGAGTGTCCAACCACCATCCCCTTGCATACAGAACAGAAAATAGTTCGCTAACCGGCCTCTGACCTCATAGAGGAGAAAAGAGGGCGTTCTGGCGAACAAGGAGAGGAGCACACTGGAAAAGCTACAATGACTGGAAGCCTTTGAGTTTGGAGGTTTCTGATCATCAAGAATACAACCGATACGTATCTTTATACATTAAGACCTAAATCACAGTGGCTTGGCTCACACATGTCTAACTTTTGTAGTTCCTCCTCTCCCACTGTTAGTCTTACTTTGAGCAGACTTATGGAAATGAATGGGCTTAAGGCAAATAATTTTAGTTTCTTTCCAAACCAGAACTGGAAGCCATGGATCTACAATTATGGTTTGGAGACAATGTATGATTTGCATAAGCCACTGTCTGCCTGATTCAAACAGAGCAAACTATAGTGGTCTTTCCCACTATAACTCTGATTAGATCTAACAACATCCAGCATCAAACTATGGGTTAACTGGGGGGGGGGGGGGGATATGCACTACATCTGAGCTGTTTCCCTTAACCTCTGAATGCAGCATTGTTTTTGTGATGTCTGAATAAGGGCACTTTATTACGGGTTTTAACCCGCTCCCTCCAATTAACCCCTGGGTTGTTCCACAATTTGCCACCAGAAATCACTATATTGCCCATGTAGGATGTAAATGCCAATACTTTTTCATTTGTAAACTTCTCCCATCTTCAAAAACAGCCAGATTTAATAAATGAAAAGAAAACTGTTTGGGTTTTAATCCTGAGCATGCCTAGGCCATAAATGATATTGAAAATACAGCTGACATGTACAGTTACAGCTGTAGAACGATATGGCTTCTGGCATGAAAAACATCAACAAAGTTACACTACATTCTTCTCTGCAAATGACCAATGTCTTCTACAACATATTTTATAGGTTTCAGCTTTCAGCAAAGAAAGGTAGCACCAAATAAAAATCCTGAAAGGGTGGGTGGATTTTTCTACTTCTCACTAAACTGGATATGAATTGGAAAAAATACTCTGAAATGCAATACACGCTAACCAGCTTGTGAAGAATGATGCTTTCAGCTTAATAATTCACAATATTCCCAGTCTTGGTAATAAGTCTTACCTCCCAAAGATGATTGGAGTACTTTTAATACACTGAAAAAGGTATTAAGGATGTGTTGATATAACAACTTAAAAATTTCATAATATTAAACAAGATATAAGTATCACTAATAAATAAATAACAAGGCATAGTTGAGCTACACTTGCACAACATGTTTTAACAAGTGAAGCCTTTATTTTTTTAATGTAGATATACCTGTACATTTGAACATGCTCGAGGATGTTTTTTTTTTTAACAGTACATATATATGCTATGTCTGCAATGTTTTGTAGAAAAGTAACTAATAAATGTCTCAGTGGAAACAAAGTTCATTAAATTGTTTTGTGTGTCCATGATGTGATCTCTGGAAAAACTGAACACTATTATTTTTTATTGCAAAATGCAACAACACTCTCAATTGCCACATGGGTAGCAATCTTATTTCAGTAACACTGTTAAGAGTGTGTGGCTAGCAGGAGCAAGACAGTAGTGGTCCCATACACTCTTACCTGAAAGCAGGTCTCATTTAACTCAGTAGAATGTATATTTATGTATTACATTTCTATACCGCCTCATAGCCCCATAATTGACTAGACAAGTGAAGCATATGCTGTAAACCATCATTATTTACTCTCCATGTCTTGAGTATACCTGTGGCAGTAAGCCATAGGACTACAAACTTATAAGATACATTGCTTTCTATCTGCCCTACAACAGACTCAAAAAGAAAGAAGGTCCCTGTACATACAAAGGCTTGCAGGTAGACCTGAGCTGTACAGGCAATGTGATGGTGTTATCTGCAGTTTACATTCACCTCTTCGTGTATTCACTGGGGAAAATATTTCTCTTCAGTTACCCACTCTTCTCTCTTAATAACTGAGCAAGCCTCCCTTGCAATAGTGAATGCCCTAAAGACCTGAATCAGTTCCTCCGTTCTTAATCTCTCGTTTTGCAAGTAGTCATGGAGCCGGAAGAGAACAGGACCCCCAAAGCTTTTTCTAGCCGGAGCCCAGGCCTCCCAGTCAGCGTGAGAGAGCACGCAGTCTTGCCCCAGTGACACCGATTAAGGCCACAGGGCGCCTCTTCGCCTTCTGCTCCCCAGCCACCATGCGTGCAGGCAGGGCGGAGCCAGGGCAGCGCACACATGTGCTGCAGCTGCGGCCCAAGGAAACTGGTCTCGGAGATCCGGGCAGCGAGGGGTGGCCTCAGCCGCCCCAGAAGAGGAGCGGAAGCAGAGGCAGCGAATGCGCCCCTCAGTTTCAAGCCGCCCCGCCCCCTAAAAAGAGCGCGGCGGCCAGGCTAGTTCCCCATTCGTGCCAGGGCCCGTTACACGTGAGAATGTAGATCAAGTAAGGACTTCGGTTACTTCAGCCGGATCGGATATTCCCCGGCTCACTCTCTCTACCTCTTCCGCTCTCTCCCATCCGTACGGCGTGACCGAGTCCCCCCTCGTGTGCGTGGGGGGAGCGTGCGCATGGCGTGGCGAACGGGAGGCCCAGGCCCCGCGGATCCTCCCCGCCGCCGCAGCGCGGCCTCCCAGCCCAACCACCCGGGCGATACCTTGCTGGGAGAAGGCCGGCCTCCTCCGGCGCCCGGCGGCGCCCAGGCCAAGCAGGTGCAGGCAGCGCTGAGGTGGGCAGAGGGCACGTACTCGTGGTGCAGGCGGCTGCTGGCCGTCTCCCACACGCGGAGCCGCCCGTCAGGCCCAGAGAGCGCGAGGAAGCGCCGCTCCCGAGGAGAAAAGGCGCAGGGGGTCCTTGCCACGAAGACGGGGGTCTCGAACGCCGCTGCCTGCTCGCCGCCGCGCGCGGTGTCGCCCGTCGAGGAGCCCGCTCCTGCCGCCGCCATGGCGCTCGCTCCGGGCCCGTCCCTCTCTGCTCCCAGCAGGCCAGCGGGCCGCCGCACGGCAGCCACGTGTGCGGCCCCCGCGCAGGCGCACTGACGCTGATGGGCTCCATCCGCGACGGGTTCGCCCGCCTCGGCCGCGCAGGCGCAGCTTCCCTTGGTCGGGCAGTCGTGGTGAGTCTTCCCCTCTTCCTCCTCCTGTTCGGACTAACCGAGTGAGCGAAGCGGCCTAGGGCAGCGGTGTCTTGTCCCGAACCGGTGCGCGTTGAGGTTGCAACAGCCGCGGAGTCTGAGGAAGCCACTTCCGAGTCCTGCAGCGGCATAAGGCGAATATCCTTAAATGCAGTCCCCGTTTGAAGGGGGGGGGGGGCGACTTCCAATGATATTTATATTTGGGTGTCTCTAGTCAATGATGTTTCTGAAAGCATTTCACAGCAACAACAACGAAGTGGTTCCCAACACCAGTTGGAATAGCAATTGGAATACCCTTTTGCTACTATATTCTCCAGTGAAATCCACTTTTTTACTCATCTTTTTTTAAATGAAGGAATTGTCTGGTGGAGTTGGCAAGCATAGTGCCAATTTGAGCCATTTGATTATCATGGGGTGCCAATATCTCATAATTTAGCCTGCTATCTTGCACCCATTTACCAGGGAATAAACCCTACATTTCAGTAGGCATGTATAGGATTGGACTGTTGACTGTTCTATTTATTTGTTCCTCATATCTCATTTTGGGGACTTTAATCACAGGGTTGCCATAAATTTATTTTTTTATTTAAAACATTTGTATGCACATGACAACAACAAAATATTCCCTCTTCTAAGGAGCTCATAGTGGGGTATATATGCCTGTCTTCACAGCAGCCCTGTTAGGTAGGTTAGGTGGAAACAGCTGACCCTGAAACTGGAAATATTTGCTAAGATCTAGGTCGTTTTCCTCCAATCTGGCTCCGACCAGATGTATTGGATTACAACTCCAGGCATGGCAGGGGGATACTAGGAGTTGTAAGCCAATACATTGATAGGGCATGAGAATGAGAAAAGCTGGTCTACATCCTAGTGAGCCATAGTTCAGGTTAAGCATAAGACATTTGCTATTCGGAGGATATTATTCATTCATAAAATAATCCTAAGTCATAGTGGACTTGATGGGACAACAACAATGCAAAACTTTTAGAAAGATGTATATTAATGCAACTTGAAGGGATTATTGATTAATTACTCTCTCGGGCTTGTTTTTGACCAATCTTGATGCTTGGCTTGCTTAGTTTGTAAGCAGCACAGTATTGGGCTCTTATTTGTGACTGAAGCAGGTATTTTATGAGAAGATAATTTCACATTGTAAAATATGTTTATAAAATATGTCTTTTAAAATAAACAATGTACAATTATTGAATATTTACTGTGGTTTGGAATGATGTGTCACAGTATCTAACATCACTTACATATTGGAAGAGATTAGCACTGCCCCTTTTCTCTTTCATCCACAATTGTGCAAGATACATGGTTATCTAGAACTAAGTCCAGAACTAAGCAAATAAAAGCAAGCATGCCTAAGCTTTATAGTTTTAAATGAGTCATCAAAACTTTTACATTTCATCTATGAGGATTACTTTATGTAGGTGGCAGCCCTGCTGATCTTTACTAGTTAACTTATTAACTAATGGCAGCCCTGATTATCTTTATTAGTTACCTTATTGTGTCATCCTTTAGCTAATGAAGAGGTGTGCTGAGGCTATCATTTTGACAGCACAATCCTATATATAACTACTACGTGTAGTATATGTGAAAGCCAGTGTGGTATTGTGATTAAGAATGCTGGATGGGGACTTAGGGCAAGTCACTTCCTCTCTGTGTAACCTACTTCAACAGGGTTGATGTTCTGTGACCAGAATGGAGAAAAGGAGAAACTAGTAAGTTGCTTTGCATTCCTTGATAAAAAAAAAAAAGTAAAATGGGACAGAAATGCAAACTTGTAATATCACCAAGAAGTAAATCTCATTGTGCTCAATGGAGCTTTATCAGAGTAAATGTCAGTACAAGAAGGCTGTTCTTTGACATGTACTGTCAAAGTGAGGCAGTGGGTTAGCAAGAAGAAGCCTTTCTCAGCTGTGGCTTTTCTGTTTATCTTCTCATTGTCAAATTTTTGTTTATCTGTAATTTCTTTAAAGTTTTTGCTGCTTTTTTTTTTTTTTGAAGTTCTGTGCTTTGGTTTGTGTCATAGTCTTGTATCTTTGCTTTTAAACAATAAAACTTCCTTGAAAAGATAATCTATAAATGGCAACATAGACTACAAGAGAGGGGAAAAATCAAGAATAAATGTTTTTAGGTCATAGATTCAAAGCATAAAGATGGTTAGAACTTTCCAGAAAGTTTAAGTTACAAATAATCATAATCAGCACAAAGAGGGATAGGAGGCAGAAGAATGGGAAAAGATGCAGGAAAGAATAGAGATGAAAGGAATTTACTAATCCCATCCCCCTAAGAAAACCAGTTTGTTGTCTGATATCAACAGGTATCTCAGAAATTACATAAGATTTAAAGATCTAGGATTAGCCTCCAGTTCTAATTGAGTCATTGTCAAGACAGCTAGAAATTAACAGGTATTCAGAAACCTTGACTAATATGATAGCAAAACACCATGAGGCTGTAAACTTATACCCACCTATCTGGGAGAAAACCCTATTGATGGACTCATTTTTCATTGGGCATACGTATGATGGTATGAATGGTGCTGAGTCTTGTGACTCTAAACATGCAAATTTCCTTGAGTATGGCTAAATTCACAGCCTGAATAAAATAAAAATACAAATACATTGTTTCTGGTGTTACATCTTCCTTTGCTAGTAAATATGCTAGCATACTTAGTTTTGCTTTATTATAGCTAGGTCTAGGGTGGGTGACTTGTGGCCCTCCAGGCATTTTAGACCACAGCTTTCATCAGGTCCAGACAGCACAGCCAGTAGTCAGCGATGATGAAACTTCTAGGCCAAAACGTTTGGAGGGTCACAAATGCCTACCTCTGCCCCAAATTCTTTTCGATTATCAACACCTGGCACAATCTAGTGCTGTTACACCTGGTCTCCTAAAGAGTGAGAAAATAAGGCGCCAACCACACAAAAGGTCAAAAGTACGGACAGGGTTGTTGAAGAAATGCTAAAAATGACACGAGTGCAGTAGTCATAAACGCAAAGCGAAAATCACGAGCGTTATTGCATGTGGCCAGCCATGTGAGATTAATTGTCGCGAAGCATCGACGTCATCCCTTGCGACTCCCATCTCTAGATTTTCTCTATTGGAACGACCAGTTGCTAATGAGGTAGTAGAATCGTCCCTATGCGGGGCGGGTTAAATGGAAGTTCATAGAGCTGCATGTAATAACAATTATTTTTAAAACGAGCAGACGGGTTTCGTTGCAGGTCTTTGAATTCATTCGACTGCCCAAGGCAAAATATTCACGTAAAGCCAGCCAGAGCAGGGCAGCTGTGCTTTTCAGTGCCATATCCAAGAAGCAAAACGTGATGAAAATGTAGAAATTTGTTCAATGTCTACTGACTGAAGATGTTAGGTGTTGCAGTGTCTGGGGGACGCTTCCAGTGAAGAAGACAAAATAAGAAAAACTGCATGGAGTTGAAAATCGTAGAGGTGGAGAAGGAAACATTTTAAACATCATGTGACAAGTAGAATTCGACCGATACAGGCGTATCGTGAGGAAGGCAGCACCTCTTCCATTTCTGCCTGTTACGGTTTAGAAGAACGAGGCGGCAAGCATTGCTCCGATAGTGAGAGAAGGATACTTTCATTTTCTGTTTTAGGGGAACAAGCCACTATTTCCAAGACTGCCTTCGGTTCACTTGGTGTTTCCGCTGCTTCTCGTTCGTTCCACTTTATCGCCGCCCACTTTGTGGCGCCTAATCAGAACCGGAAGCGAAAACGCGCGAGCTTTCTTAAACGCCCTTTGGTATCTTTTCAATTGGTTCCGCGGAGCTGCGAACCGAGCGACGCGCGCCGGGAGGAGGCGGGCCTGGCCGGGCCAGAGCGCGTTGGTTGGCGCGCCCTCGGAGACATGCTGGAGGTCCGCTGCAATGTCCGTGCTGCCGCGGATTGAGGCGAGCAAAGCAAGCGGCTGACTTGCAGGTATCCGGATCCAGGCGGGACATTTCCAGGAGAGGTGCTGCGGGTGGCCATGATGCGATGCTGGAGGGCAAGGCTGGCTCTACAGGCGTTGCGAGGGGAGACGTGGGCGGCTCTCGCGAATGAGGCGAAGGGGAAGCGTCGACCCTGGCGGGACGAGGGGGCATGCGGCCTCAGCCTCCAGGCGCGGGGGTCAAGGATTTGCAGCGATCCGCCGCGGCCGCAGCAAGACGGATCGCTGTGCCCGGGAAAGCACACGGCTCCGCTGCCTGCAGGCATCTTCCGGGACTCGAAGGGCCGGCGGTTTTCCAGCTCCGTGAGGAACGGAGACGGAGCGAACGAGCCCGAGGAGCAGGTCGGTCCTGCTGCAGCTCCGCGGGACTGCGTTAGGCTGACGGGGATTCGCAGAAGGAGGGCTTGGGAGAGATCCCTTTCCCCTTTGGAAAGGGTGAGCCGCCTGGTCCCCGAGGAGTTTCTTTCCCCGGAGGTCAGAGCCCTGCGGAGCGTCGAGCCCGAAGAAGCGCAGCGGCCGCAAAAAGAAGCGTTCGCTCTGGGAGAAGAGCCGGCTGCTCCTCTCGCGAACTCCCTTTCCCGGCCAGCACGCCCGGCCGCTCGAGACCCGATGCCCGAGGAGCTCCGGCGCGCGCCTTCCAGGAACATTCCCCTCCAAGTAGGGGATCTCATTCTAGCGGAGGTCCGCCGCAGTCGGAGCTCGGAGTTTAAAATGCTGACCAAACTCACCGCTGGCGGAACACTGAACAGCAACTGGGGGATGGTGCGGCACGCCGAGATTCTGGGCCAGCTCCCCGGGCAGATGTTCCGAACGACCGCGGGTCACCTGGTACTGGTCAGGAGGCCAGCCTTGGAAGAATTTGTGCTGCTGATGAAGAGAGGACCTGCCATCTCGTACCCGAAGGTAAGAGAGGCTGCAGCCGTCTCCCTTAACCTGGCATGCACCAGTGTTGGAGTATATCTCCCATCATCCCCAGCTGGTCTCTGGGAGCCCGGTTTGGGGTAGGCATATACGGAAGATGAGATAACCAGATCCCAAGCCATTTTTAATTTCTCCAGAAGCCTTATGCCCTAGGGGCGCAGTCCCATCTGTTGTGTTGAGCCCTCACTGCTTGTAAGCCTCGGACATTGGGCTTGTGAACATCCAGTTTAGCCCTGGAGGAGAACATCCAGTTTAGTACAGAAGGAAACTTCACTGCCCCACTTCTCGCACCTTACAATTTTCTGCTAAGGAGCTGCTGCATGTTGGAGTGGGAGGGAAAGAGGCTGGAGTGCCACAAGGATGCCTTTCTATCCTGGCAGCCCTAGTCTCTTTCTCTTTCAGCTCCCTTCCCACACACCCCGATCCCCACGTAGAGCTCCTTGTGTTCTGAAGCCAGAGCTCACTTCCAAACTGGAAACCCAAAGTATCTTACACCTGCTAAAGTTGGTCTAAGGCCATAGGAGCACAGTGTAATTGATGCACATCTGTTCAAAAGTAAGTGCCACTGAGTTCAGCAGGGCTCGGTTGTTGTTGTTATGTGCCATTCAGTCTTCTGACTGATGGTGACCCTATAGATGTCCCTCCAAAATGGCCTGTCTTTCACAGCCCTGCCCCGCTCTTGTAAAGTCACAGCGGGTCTTACTGCTAGGTAAATGGGTATAGTGTGGTGGCCTGCATCCACGAGCTCAGTGGGCGGACTCCACTCTAGCCAGTTGTGAATGGCAGCCCAAAGGCTGTAACTAACTTACCTATTCAGAGTTTGTGAAAAGGTGGTGTAAGTTTTAATATGGAATGAAGATAAAGCATATGGTAAGTGTGTGGGGTTTTGAATTTTAAAGCAGATTTTTTTTGGAGGGGAGGAAGCCATAACAGCATGGGAGCTATTTAGGTCACCATAGCCCACCTTTTGACTAATGGAAGTTTGGCATGGCTCCTACTTTAAGTACCAGTTTTTGAAGAACACAAGCAGAATATGCTATGCACTTAAGGCCTACTTATGGGTTTCCCATAGGCTGCTATGAGAACCAAAAGCTTAAATAGAAGGCTTTCTGACTGACCAAGCATGGCTTTTACAATTTGGAATCTTCATCACACAGAACCCATTTAAGGAACAGGGCTAAAAATTCAGAAACTCTTGCACCAGATATGAAAAGATGCTCAGATCATATACCATCTTCCTTTCTTCATGTCCCCAAGAGTATTGCTCCATTTACCTTAACAGTTACTTCCATGCAGGGAGAAATATATGTGGCATTAGTGCTTCCCTTTAAACTTAATTTTGGCTGCTGTCTGATGCACACTGATTTGGGAGTAGGTCGTACTGGTTTCTGTAGCCATGCTTAGGAGTGTGCTGTTACTCTATTTGCAGGAGTTGTATGTATACAGCTGCTCCAACTACTGTGGTCCATTTGCCTGTAGACTCAGTTTGATCTGTACTGAAACTGAACATGCAAATTCTGCTTGAATGACAGTTTATAAATATTTAGGATCTTCCTTTGTTCTCTTAACTTCTAGGATATGAATGCAATGCTGTTGCTAATGGATATCGGTCAAGGAGACGCAGTGCTGGAAGCTGGTTCTGGGTCTGGTGGTTTGAGTTTATTTCTATCAAGAGCAGGTAAAATGACATAGATTTCTTCTTCTTTCTTTAGGAAGCGTTCTGCGTACTTAGACTAGCAGTGGATTTTTAGAGCAGAAAGTGGTATTTCCCAACTTCTGTTATCTGATTTTTTTTTTAATCCAAGAAGTATCAGGGCTTATACTTGAGGCTTCCTGCGTGCAAAACGTGTGTGCTACAGCTAAGCTATGAGTTCCCCCTTATGGTGATCACACACCATTTTGCCCACAATGTCTTCAAATATATTTCAACACCCTAAAGAACCTTGGATTTCAGCTACTCCCTAGCAGGAAATATTTGCCCACTGAAAATGGATTGGTTAATGTACTTCTTGGCATAGTAATAATGCATCAATGTGAGTTTTAGTTAGGCAACTTGAAGAGAGAGCCAGTGTGACACAGCAGTTAGAGCACTGGACTGAGACTTGTGAGATCCAGGTTCTACTCCTCACTTGTCTATGAGGCTCACTGAATGATCTTGGGTCAGTCATTGATTTTCAGCGCAACCCACCTCATAAGGTTGTTATGAGGATAAAATAGAGATGAGAATTACATAAACTGCTTTGGGTTCCTTGAAAGAAAGAAAAGCTAGGATTTAAATGTAGTAGTAGTAATTTTCAATATCAGAAGTGCAGTGTTAAAAATCAGGCCTTGGGGTTCTTTAATCAATATCCTGCTTTTTCTCCAAGAAGTGCAAGATGTTGTACATGGAGTGGATTAGGTAGAAAGATGGAAGCTAGCCTAAGGTTATCAGTAGGCTTCATGGCTGAACATAAATTTATTACCAGGCTTCCTTAGCATAGGAATATCACTCTAGCCAGTACAGCACACTGGCCCACTTAGTGCTTCCTTGAATATGTGAAATTAACATTTAGTGCGTCTTTTCATTTCTATATATTAGTGGTTGCTTCCATCAGAGGACTGTGCTGAACGAGTTCCTAATCACCTGGGCTGCAGGCACCTTGGATTACATATAATGCATCTTAAATGGGGAGGGGGTCACTGAGCCCAAGGTCTTCAGGACTATAAACAAGTTGCTTTTCTGGAACTGGAGCATTCTCAAAAGGATCTCCTACCACTCATGTTTATTTAAATTACTGATCAGTTACAATCCAGGTAATCGACTAGCAGGACAGTCCTTATGCATAATTATTCAGAAGCAAGCTCCCATTCTGCTAAGTGGGACTTAATAAATAAGTGTGTTTAGGAGAGCATCTTAAAATCTGCTTAATCGGACAGCCATGTTAGCTGTTATGCCTTAAGTCCTCATTGTATTGAAAGAAAGACAGTTTGCAGCAGTCCACTGCTTCATTTCTTGTGTGATTTAACTTTTTATAGAAAGGAAGAGGACAGCAATTAGCTTCAGTACTATGTTATTTATTTTCAGTTGGGTCACAAGGACGTGTTACAAGTTATGAAGTCAGGAAGGACCATCACATAACGGCAAAGAAGAATTATCAGACCTGGTGTGATGCATGGAAAATAAGGCATACTATAGAGTGGCCAGATAATGTGGATTTCATTAATGAAGACATTTTAACAGCAGGAGAGTATTTGAAAACTATGACTTTTGATGCAGTAAGTTTGCCTTTTTAGAAAGGAAAATATGATGCTTTACCACTCTTCAAGAATATAGTGGGACTAAGAAGAGAATTTATCTCTTCTCAAAGGCAGAAAACAAGTCTTCAATAAAATCTGGGATCTGCAACATGTTTTTGTAAATGGATTTTCAGTGTTTACCATTATAATTTCTTAGCACCCAATAGGTAAAATATAGTGCCTCAATTTTTATTTTCATAATTCTTAACCTTTTCCCATAGGTCTCCAGACCCCTAAAATTTAAGTAAGACAAAAATTACCATTAAAATGGTTAATTAAAAAAACAGAAGAACAGCAGTAGTAAATCAACTACATAAACCTGAGCTGATCTAAAACTCAGTTTCACCAAAAGTAGTAGTAAGAGGGCCTGATGCCTAAGGTAGCATAATCAGCAACTATTCCAAGGGGAACTGAGGCAATATGACTTGAAAGGCCCTGTCCCTGGTAGTCAGCTATCTAACCTGATAATGGGAATACCTAGAACAGGACCCCAGTTGACGATCTTAGGGCAAGTGCAAATGAGAAACGTTCCCCCAGATGTGTTTTTAATCATTAGCTTACATCCAGAAATGTATCCAGAAAGGAAAGAGGGAAAGGTCCATTCCAACTGAATTCAAGCAGCCTCATCCCTCAGTTACCGTCACTGTGGTAATTTAGCAGGACTGAGAAAAGATGCTGCCCTTCACCCCATAGCATTTGAAAGCAAAAGCATCCCAGTGAGCATACAGGTTTCTTTACTGCTCACAGTTCTCTGGGCAGGGACCTATTCAGAAAAAAGCATCACATGGAAGAAATCTTGATTCAGATACTGCAAATTGTTCTGCTGTTTGGGTTTGGGTTGTCGTGGGCTGATTGGAAAGGACATCTTGTTGTAACCACATTTTGCAAGACAACAAATTGGAAGAGTTTTTACTGTCCCAACTTACCATGACTTTTATCCCAATTAGCCTTCTGGGATCTTTTGATCACTTGCTTTCCCATTTTTCTATATCATTTATACTGTTTACTATACATTGTATATATTAGGTGCAGGGGCACTCAAGACAGACAGGTCATAGCAGAGAGCTCTGACAAAAGGTGATCCATTGGAGAAGGAAATGGCAACCCACTCCAGTATCTTTGCCATGAAATTGCTATGGACAGTATCCAAAGACTAAAAGTTGAGCCCCTCAGGTCAGGTGTCCAGCGTGTTACAGAGGAAGAGCAGAGGGCTAGTACTAGTAGTGCCAGAAAGAATCAAGTGACAGGGTGAAAGCTGAAAGGACACTCTGTTGTGGATGTACCTGGTGGTGAAAGGAAAGTCTGATGTTGTAAAGAACAATACTGCATAGGAACATGAAACACAAGATCTATGAATCAAGGTAAGTTGGATGTGGTCAGACATGAGATGTCAAGACTGGACATCAACATCTTGGGAATCAGTGAATTAAAATGGACAGGAATGGGTGAATTTAATTCAGATAACCATCATATACTACTGTGGGCAAGAATCCCACAGAAGAAATAGAGTAGCCATCATACAAACACTGGCTTCCTCGGCTAGGAAACAGATGAGCACTGCCCCCTAGAATCAGGCATGACTGGACTTAATGTCAAGGGGAAACCTTTACCTTTTACATCGTCAGTAGAAGAGTAGGAAAAGCAGTACTGGGACACAATCTCCAGAATAACAGAATTGCAGGCATGGTTTTGAAGAGGCAGAGGAACTAGAGATCAAATTGCCAGCATATGCTGGATCATGGAGAAGGCTAGGGAGTTCCAGGAAAACTTCTACCTTTTCTTCTTTGACTAAGCTAAAGCCTTTGATTGTGTGGACCACAACAAATTGTGGCAAGTTCTTGAAGAGATGGGAGTACCAGACCATCTTATTTGTCTCTTGAGAAACCTGTATGCAGGTCAAGAAGCAACAGTGAGACCTGGACATGGAAATACCGATTGGTTCAAAATTGGGAAAGGATACAGCAATGCTGTATGTTGTCACCTTTAGATGCAGAGTACATGATGCGAAAGTTTGGGCTAGATGAATCCCAAGTAGGAATTAAGATTGCCGGAAGAAGTATCAACAGCTTCAGATATGCAGATGATACAACTCTAATGGCAGAAAGTGAAGAGGAACTAAAAAGCCTCTTAATGAGAGTGAAAGGAGAGTGCAAAAGTTGCCTTGAAACTAAGCATCAAGAAAACTAAGATTGTGGCATCCGGTCCTATCACTGCCTGGCAAATAGATGGGGAAGAAATGGAGGTAGTGACAGATTTTGTATTCTTGGGCTCAAAGATCACCGCAGACAGTGACTGCTGCCAATAAATTAAAAGTTGCTTGCTCCTTGGGAGGAAAGCTATGGTAAATCTAGACAGCATACTAAAAAGCAAAGACATCACCCTGCCGACAAAAGTTCGTATAGTCAAAGCTATGGTTTTTCCAGTTGCAATGTATGACTGTGAGAGTTGGACCATAAGGAAAACGTGAGTGCCAAAGAATTGATGCCTTTGAATTGTGGTTCTGGAGAAGACTCCTGAGAGCCCCTCGGACTGCAAAGAAATCAAACCAGTCAGTCTTAAAGGAAATCAACCCTGACTGTTCTTTAGAAAGTCAGATACTGAAGATGAAACTCAAATACTTTGGCCACCTAATGAGAAGGAAGGACTCACTGGAGAAGAGCCTAATGCTGAGAACAATTGACGGCAAAAGAGAAGGGGACGGCAGAGGTTGAGGTGGCTAGATGGGATCACTGGGGTGGTCGGTGTGGACTTGGGTGGACTCCAAGGGATGGTGAAGAACAGGAAGGCCTGGAGGAATGTTGTCCATGAGGTCATGAAGGATCGGACATGACTTAGCAACTAAACAAAACCAAACATTGACAGTTATCTGAAAATTTTCTCAACCAGAGTTGATGACACATAGCAAGACTCCTTTTGATTGATCCCCGTTTCAGAGGCTCAGTTATTTTAGTATTTTTTAGGTCAGTCTATCCTCAGCTCAAAGATAAGTCCTCCTTGGAACACTGACCAGATAGCTGCTCTCTTCCCCGAGATACTCACTCAAAATACATTCTAGCATTGCACCTGGTTGCCTACCTCCTGAGGTTTCTCAAGGTTTGTACAATATATGTATTAGCTTGTCACTTACTGTGATAGGCTCTGTCAAAGTAAATAAGACCATGTAAGTGATGAGAGGCCGGCCTCCTGATAATCTGGATGTGTTTGTGTCTGACATTACAGTTTGTGGCCTTAGGCTGATACAAACATTGTGGTGTCTCATGCTAAAACTTGTAACAGGCATCCTTACATTTGAAATATATTTTCTAATGTAAGTGCATGTTAGAATTGATTGTATTCTCTTTTAAACTTTCTTAAAATATGTTTCTTCTTTAGGTAGCTTTGGATATGTTGAATCCCCAGAATGCCTTACCTGCAATTTTCCCAAGTCTTAAACAAGGAGGTGTTTGTGCAGTATATCTTGCAAAGTAAGTATTGTGTCTTCACATTTGTAACTTTAAGAATGTAAGAAAGCCCTGCTGGAGCAGACCAGGAGCCTGTCTAGTGCAGCACTCCTTTCACATCATGGCAAACCAGCTGCCCACAGGATCTCTCAAGCAAGACGGATGCAAGACCTTCATCTGCCCAAACTCCTCAGAAATTGATGTGTGTGCAGGCATGCTGTCTCTGATCATGGAGGCAGCACATAGCCTGCAAGGCTAGCAGCCATTGAGAGTCTCCTCCATGAATTTGTCCAATTCCTCCATGATTTTGCCCCCTTAAAGCCATTCAGATCAGTGGCCACCACTACTTCCTGTAGCAGTGAATTCTATGGTTTAACCATGTGTGATATGAAGTACTTCCTTTTAGTTGTCCTGAATCTTCCACCAATCAACTTCATGGGATGACCCTGGGTTCTACTGTTATGGGAAAGGGTGGAACATGTCTCCCTCTCCCTTTCTCCACAACATGCATAATTTTAAATACTTCTGTCATGTTGGGCAGCTGGTTCTACTGTCATATTGCTCTGACAGTGACGGAACTCTTCCTGATATCTTGCCTGATTCTGGGTTGTCACAGCTTGATTTGATTATTCTGTCTGCTATCAGCAAGAAGAGATCTTGACCTTCCTCTTTGTGACAGCCTTTGAGGTACTTATAGAGGGATATCATGTCCCCCCTCAGTCTTCTCTTTTCAAGGATGAACATGCCCAGTTCTCTCAGTCTCTCCATATAGGGCAGTACTTCTAAACCCTGGATCATTTTTGTTGCCCTCCTCTGGACCCTTTCTAATTTTTCTGCATCTTTCTTAAATCTTGGTGCCCAAAACTGAACAGTATTCCAGATGAGGTCTGACTAGTGAGTATATGGGAACTACTATTACTCATGATTTGTAAGTAATACTTCAATTAATGCATCCCAAAATAGCATTTGCCCTTTTGGCAGCAGCATCATGTTGTTGACTCATATTTAGCTTTATTCCCCATCTTGTATTGATGCATTGGGTTTCTTTTTCCTAGGTGGAGGACTTGGTACTTGTCCTTACTGAATCTCATTTTGTTGCTTTCAGCCCAGTGTTCAAGTTTATCAAGATCACCCTGGATCTTCGTTCTGTCTTTTACAGTGTTTGCTATTCCATCAAGTTTTGTATCATCTGCAAATTTGATTATCTTTCCTTGTACTTCCTCATCTAAATTATTAATAAAGATGTTGAAGAGCACTGGGCCCAGGACTGAACCCAGTGGCACCCCATTCGTTACCTCCATCCAATTTGAGAATGTGCCATTGATGATCACTGCATGTCCAATTTAGCTACCAATTTTGGATCAACCTTATAGTTTTTCCATCTAGTCCAGTTTTTGCTAATTTTCTTATCAGAATGTTGTGTGGCACTATATTGAAAGCTTTGCTAAAGTCTAGTTTATGTCCACAGTGTTCCCTCTGTCCTTTCAGGTGGTTAGCCAGTCAAAAAATGAGATTAAATTAGTCTGATAGGATTTATTTTTAATAAATCCATGCTGGCTTCTAATAATGACTGTATTTTCTTCAAGATGCTTGCAGATGGATTTTTAATCATCTGCTCCAAATTTTTTCCAGGGATTGATGTCAAACTAACTGGTCTGTAGTTCCCAGGTTCATCTTTTCACCCCTTTTTGAAGATAGCCCTTCTCCAGTCATTTGGCACTTCTCCTGTTTTCCTAGATTTATCAATGATAATAGCCAGTGGTTCTGAGAGTTCCTCCACTAGCTCTTTTATGACTCTGGTGTGGAGTTCACTGGACCCTGGAGATTTGAACTTGTTTATTCCATCTAGGTATCCCTGGACCATTTGTCTGTCAGTCTTGGGCTGCCATCTTTCAGCTTGTGCTTCCTTTTGGTTCTAGACTTTGTTGTGGGTGAGGAAAAGTAGGAATTGAATGCCTTTTTCTTGTTGTCTGTTGTCACTCTGTTCTCCTCTTATATACATGTGGATGGCAATCTTGGAGTTTCATTTTCAGTTCCTTTCCTAGTTACTGTATGCCTAACATCGTTTGCCTTTTTCATGACAGCTGTGCTCTGGGTCGATATTTCCATTTTCGCAGCAGCTGACCTCCACATTCCCAAAACAACTTTCTTTATCACTGAATTTGTAATGGCATCATGCACTTGTTTAAGACAGCCTTAAAATTTCTTATACCATGAAAGAGTATTTAACCCAGCTCCACCTCCCACACAGAATATCGAATCGGAAGCAGATCATGGTTTGTAAGTGGTAGTTAATGATAGTTTCACAGTTGGACAGCATGGAAATTATGGCATAACTTGCTTGCATTGGGTGTATAAGAGGATGGTTAAGTATATGTTCACAGGACTTATTTTGTTCACAAGGTTTCATTTGGACTGGTTTAATAATGCTATTGTAACATACAATTGCATATATAATTATATATCCAATTGGATATATAATTGCATAGATTCTTTTGCTTAGGTGGAAAGGCAAGATAGAAATATTTTAAAGAAATAACACTAAAATCAGCCCAATCATTTTTGCTGTCATTGTTTTCTAGCTCCTAATAGGTGATAACTGTTGCTAACAAGGTATGTTTTTATAGTATGAGTTCTTTAGGTAAGTAGACTTTTGTAGTCAAGAAGAAATCTTTTATTCACAGTACATTTTGCTTAAGTTTTGAGTTGGTCACAGTCAAATCTAAATATAGTGCATTGAAACTGCACATTTGTGCAAGTTGCTTTGGAAATAAGCCTTCCCGATTGCATTGGGACAAATCTCTTGACTAAATGAGCGTAAGATTGGGCTGCAAACTGTTGTATTATACATTTATGCACAGATTCACTGGCAATATGTGTAATTTGAGTTGTTCTTCAAGTATTACCCAGGTTATTGAACTGTTGGAAGCCATCCGGACCAGAAAGTTAACCCTTTTTTGTGAAAATATAGTGGAGGTGACACACAGAAATTGGTTAATATTCCCAACCACATGGAGAAATGGTGGAATTTTCCAAAATATGGAGGCTATGCAAAATGTGAATGATGAATCAACTTGCGATGATGAAAATGAAGAGGCCCCTGCCGAAGAAAGAGAAGATGATGGTATGGAACATGTTCTAGTGGAATCTTGTTTTGTGACAGTAAATGGAACACTGCAGACCCCATTGTAGTGCCATTGATAGGAACTTTATTGTAAAATATAGTTGGATCCTCTGACTACTAGCAAAGTGTTGCTGAATTTGTTAAGCCATTCACCATACGTAGTCTGTGAGGGCTACTGCTTGCAGTTGTTGTCCCTTTTGGGTGGGGACATGTAGGAACAGGAAGAGGGATCAGGCTGTCCAGAGGAGGAGGTAAATTAACCTCAGATGGAGTTCAAGTGCACCTTGTATCTTAAGTATGATGCTTGAGGAACCCAGGATGCTGGCTGTATGTGACTTCAGTTTCCATGCTGAACCTGCCTCTGGAGTACCAGCTCAGGACATCATGACCACAGGACTGTCTGTCATTGGCCCAACACATGAATAATGGCAAATCTTTGATTTGGTCTTTGAACCAAGCAGTAAGATGAATAATATGAAAATTGGGTGGGTTGAGGAGACTTCATTGTCATGGTCTGACCACTTTCAGGTAAGATTTTAATTCATAGTAGTCCTCCTTGCAGGGGTGGGGTTGAGGACTGAGATTTAGATAGTGTGTCCCAAGAGATTGATTGAATCCAATGGATTTCTGAATGCTTGTAGGGATTTTTCAATAGAGAAAGCTGGTGATCCAGCCAAGTCCCTAGTTCTGCTATGAAACCAGATGATACAGAGGACCATCACCTCAGTTGTACCTGAATATCCACTCTTATGCTGTAGAGCCAAATCTGCTCTTTGATATACTGGGGAACTCTGGTTAATGAAACAAACTGGATGACTGCTGAAGTGCAATTTGCAGAAGGCATGCAGTGATGACAGCAGACCAGACACACAAACATGCCTATTTACATTGCATCCTCAAGTAGGCATCCAGCAGAGCCCTTTTGCTTTGTTCTGGAGCTGCTCACTCTCTCCCCAGCAAATGGGGTTGAGGTTCTCTCTAAGACCCACTGCAAACTTTTTGCATCACAATTTGAAGACGAAGATACTTGGTTTTGCAGCAGACTTGATGCTGCAGTTTGTAGAACTCCAGTCAAGGTGCCTGACACTTCCATCTGCTCAGTTTTGTGCGATCAATTTCAGTTGTTGCAACCTGATGATGTGGACAGGATGCTTGCAGTAATGAGACCGGCAGTGTGCCCTCTGGATCCTTGGTACTCCTGCCTAAGTGGGATGACTGGGTCAAAGGAGCAAAAACTGCATCTGTAAGAAAGAATTATTTCTACTGGCCTTAAGGAAGCAGTAGTGCAACTCCTGCAACTTTCTTCAGCACTCCTGGAGAAACCTACTCTGGACCCAAAAGTACTTGACGATAACTGTTCAATTGCATATTGTCCTTTGTACAGAAGGTTCTTGAGATGGTCCTGGTGGTAAGCACTCTTGGAGGATACTGATTCTTTACAACATTTCTACTCTGTGTCTTGGCCCGATTGCACAACTGAATTAGCCTTGGGCACCTTGATGCATGACCTTTGTTGAGAGAGGAATGGGGAGTACAACCTTGATAAATCTGTTTGATCTCTTGTCAGTTATGGATATCATCAACCATGGTATTCTGTTGGATGGACTCTGCAAGGTTGATTTCAGAGAACAGCACTGATTATTATTCTGACCCTTGGCAATGGAACAGTGGTTGCATGTAATACATTTACTTGAAAAAACTGCTGTGGCTGTCTACTGGCTACCAGGCTAAACTTTAAGGGCTTGGTACTAGTGTATAAACTCCCAGCTTTATAGGACCAGGATATGTGAGAGGGCATCTTCACACTTGCAAACTGGTTTGGTCCCTGGATGACATGTTCTTGGTGGTTCCCATATAGGCATGTGGCCTGATTGCTTTTCTGCAGATAAATTCCAATCAGTGCAGTGGCTCCACTTCTCTGGAACCCTCTGCCTCTCAAAGTTAGGCAGGCCCCAATATTGCATTGTTTTTGGTGGTACTTAAACTTCATTATTTCAGGAACTCTTCCTGAACTAACCAGCTACAGTTTTTATAGATTCTGTTTTAACATATTGTTGAATTCCCTTTATCCATTTTTATCTCGTATTGTTCACTGTCTGTAAATATGGAGCAGCATATAAATACTGTAAATAAATAAAATGGAATTAAATGTGTTGGATAACAATGTTTTAATTTTATTTCAGCATCTTTAATTTCTGACAGTGCAAAACCACCTTACATTGCCAGACCATACCCATGGCAAGTTGGACACACAGGTAAAAAAAAAAAAAGCCTGGCAAATATTTTGTAAGCTATACACTCATTATTACAGTTGTATTTTCCATAAACTAGTAATTTTTTCCAAAAGAGAAAAATATAAATTAAAGCTTATTATATGTACCTACTAATATAATGTATTGCTAATATAGACATCTTTTCCTCCAAATTAGTCTTTCTTGTCAAGCTACGGAAATTTAACTCGGCATATCCAAAGACTGCTGCAAATGATATATCCTGACTTGAAGACTGCACTCCACCAGAATGAAAACTAAATAATCCTCATATATACAATTAAGAGTAAGCCAGCTTTAATTTATATTGACTAGATAATTGATACTGTATTGATAATGTATTGAAACATAAGAGAACTTAACATAATAAATGTTTTGAAAAACATCGTGTTTTGTCCAGAAGACTAATTTAATCAATTTCTAAACTTCAAGTGTGTTTTATTCTTCATTTCCAGTAAACCAAAGCATGGATTCATCTTGACTGCTATAGCAATTTTTTCTTCCTTTGTTAGGTAATTTGTTGCAATCTATGAAAAATCAGGGAAAGAAATTCATATTGAAAGAATATGGGGGCTTACAACACTGTTTGGTCTATGTAATCAGGAAAGCTTCCATTTATGGGAGCAATGGAGAATACAATTGGGATGCTAAATTTCTATTCTCCAACTAGTCACAAAAGACATATAGGGAATTAGCTCCATTTGTTGTTGTCCTCCATGTATTTCATTTCATTTATTTTTGTATTTCTTTTCAGATAAAAGTGGGTAACTTGAAAGCCACTGTTGGCTACTCCTATGTATTGCATATCTTCCCATGTAATTAAAGCACAGAGACATTGCTCATCAATTTATAAATAGGGGGCAGTATCCAACTGTATCATTCTGCTACAAAATCCAACTAAAGTTACATTTGCACGTGTATGTTTATGCAACTGCTTGCGCAAACATAATGCATACATGCTAGAGCTATTTGAACTTGTAGAATATTGCCTAGTATATTCAAAATAATACACTTTTCACATTACATTTAACTTTTCCAGTATTCTGCTACTCTTTCTATGCTAGCTCCTCATGGAGTCTAATTTTTGGCCTTTTTCTTAAACTCAGTACTTACAAAGTTACACCCATGTGCATTCTAATAAATTTGATGTTTATTGTAGACAAATCTGCTCAGTGGCTTTGAGATTGGCCAATAGTCAATTAATGGTCTAGCCATGCACCAACTAAACTTACATTTGTCTGCTAGTTTATTTAAAAGATTTATTAGGGATGTTTTAGGGTAAACCAAAACAGACAAGGTTTAAATAAATGCATGCAATTTTGCAAATTCACGATTTGAGCAGGCAAGAAAAGCATTCAATGATGTGGGTGGGAGGAACAGGACAATCTGTAGGAACCACAGAACCGTGACAGATTTCTGCTTGGAGAAAATTTGGAGGACAACAAATGACATCACACAGGGTGAAGTGAACTCTGCAGCCTCCCTCCCCCATTCATTCATTTGTTTGTTCGTTCGTTCATTCAAAACTTGTAAAAATAAATCTAAGACAAGGATGCATAGTTGATGGGGCACATGTGACTCCCTCAATTTTGTGCATCACTCACTGAATTCTGTGGTGTTCAGAGTATGTTTTGGGGTGTTGAAAGCCTTCCCCAGCCCCCAAACCACTCCTGCAATGGATCATCAAGAGGTAATGACTATAACCTATGTACAGAGCTTAAAGGATGCAGTAAAGCTTCTGATTCCACAACTACAATGTACGAGACTTGTGATTGCTTCCATTATCATTCTTTAGTCTATGCACCTAGAAACAAAGTTCCACACACTTGTCCCTTGCTGGATTGAGAATCACAGATGCAAACAGCTATTGAACACAGGTTGCACAACCCAATTCAGCAGCCAAGTCTGTGCTTCAATTTGCCTTTTTAAAAAGTACTGGAATTCTACCAATATTGGGAAAAAGAACAGGGCCCAACTCAATCCATCCTTCACTATTGATTTCCTGCAAAATAGCTGCTTTCCAAAAGTGAGTGAGTGTGTGTTTCTAAAGGATTGAGCATTTCATAGTCTTGGCCACTTGTTTGTATACTCTGTTACACAGAGTTGTGCTCTGACTATTCATAGGTTACTAATGTTTTTAGACTGTAACCTGTAAATGTCAAAGTGGGATTTGTAGCACACAAAATTTAGTGACAAAGGAGTTCATTTAATTGTTGATTGCAACTATAGAAAATGTGACAGTATTTTAAACTTAGTACAGAACAACTACATTTTGTAGCTTAAGTGTAGGCATTTGAAATGCTACCAACTACTACATAAAAACTGTGATCCCTAAGCATATTTAAAAATAAGGGGAACTGACCTGGGTACTGTAAATCTAGTTTACATACCAATAATGCTAACCGCATCATACCTTGGGTGTAACAGCAAGATGGTGATTCAAGAATTATCAGCTTGAGAAGAGTCGTGCAGTCCCTGAGTTACATGTTGCTCCATCATTTCCAGACTGCCACTGGAGGAAGAGGATGATAATCCTAGCCTTATATATCTTGTTTTTTTCCCACAAAGCAAACAATCTGCAGGTGTGGCATTAGGACCACGAGGCAGCTGTACTTCATCCCGGCTATTGTTTCTTCTTGCTCCACTATGATGCAGGGAACGTTCCCGCTGCCATATATAATGTGTTGGAGCAATAGCCATGACCTGCATTAGAGAATCATGGTTCTGAAATTGAGCAATATCAGAACAAAAAGCAAGCAATTACTGCACAGCAATCGTAAAGCTAGTTGATGAAGTTGGTTTTCTTGGTTATCGATAAAACTGTTTCAGGGAAGATTGAACCTCGCAGAAATGAGCACTGTACTGCTATTTATTGGGGTACTTTTCAGCACCTGGGAAAAACAATTTCCCTCTGCTGAGAAAATCTAATTAGGCCTAGTTTCCAACAAAATGGCTTTTTTAATTAACACAGACCACAACAATAGATTTCTCATAGTTAGAACAACTGCATTTTTTGTAGTTTTTTCAATTTTTATTATCTAATTCCATTTTTAAATTTTGCTAATCTGATTTTGATTATTTGTACTCATAATCCTCAAGACGTGCAGGCTGTTGGGCATCCTGTGGAGGGTGGGAAGATCACAGAAGGGAAGGTTGCCTCCATGCTCCTCTCACTGTGCAGAACTAAGTGTGGCACTTTGGAGTGGAAGGGAAGGAGGGGAAGGACACTGAGGTGCTGGCAGGCTATATTATTTTATGGATATTGGTGCTATAAATTTGTATATTGCATTTTCTGTTTCATATACTGAGTATAAAAGGTATCTATAATGGTTTCATATTTTTCAGCAGTTGCTAATGTTAAATTTTCTGAAAAAGCACCCAGATTGTTGAAGAGAAATTATATGATAGAATTTAATGAAAACATGGCAAACATCAGCAATAAACTGAAGCAGTCGAAGCACCACCAAACTTACAAATTGCCTCTCCAAGAAAGTTAGGCTAAACTAACCTCCTCGGCATCTTTTTAACATGACTGGTGAAGACAATATTGCTCTTTCTAGCTTTTAATAGTTAATGCAATGTTCTGTTTTCATCCTCAATTCCCAGTTTTAAAATACGTCCTGAAAAACAGGATGCTGCTCATTAAAATGTAGTGCTCAAGTTATATATATATCCCCTTACCTCGTCACAACAGCGTCTGCTTACAATTGCCCTATAGTCCATCTTGCTCCAGAGTTCATCCCTTAGAATTAAGAAATCTGGAAAAAGCTTTCTCCAGGATTTTCCTAAAGCCCATGGAAAAATCTCATACTTTGACTCTTCGTCATCTTCTTCCACTGTATTTGCCAGGTACCTATAATGATGTGCACTATGACTGATTTACATTGGTTTTAAGACAGATGAGTACCACTAAGTCCTTATTCTAGCTTTTCTTCCATCACACACACACACACACAGTCAAAATTCAAAAGTAATTTAATGTGAATCGACTTTACCAAACTTATTTTTACAGCCAGGATGAAAAAACTAATTACCTTGTCTGAGACTAATCAAAAGTCAGAGCTGTACACACAGGCAGCAAAACATCCAGAACTTGAAACTGGAGAACACCGCATCCTGAAATCTCAAATTATACTTTTAAAGAGAGCAGGTTTCTATCTCTTACAGGTTTGAACATGCATGAACTATGCTTAATGAATTATCAAAAGTCGGGGAGTTGGCTCAATAAACATGCCATGATTCAGTGGATGGAATTCTTGTCCCTCTTCATTGGTAGCAGAAACCAAATGATGCACATCCAGCTAATACCCGAACCTAAGTTTGTATAATTTATACAGGTCAGGCTGGTGCAGAATGTTGATAGTTCCTAATGCAGAAATTTTATACAATTGTTTCTAACCATAGTGCAGAGGCCTGCCCAAAGTTCAATGCCAAAAGCATCTGCTTGAGATAGATTTCACAGACTGAGAATTTTTGACAGTATACTGCTTGTTTATCTTGCCCTTATATCAAGACAGTAATTCATGTAATGTGGGCTATTTTGTCTAATTCATATATAGCTATAGGCTAGGACTGTGCCTCAAAAGTATTCAGGCTGCTTTGGAATCCTGAGTTTGTCAAAGGCAAAGCAGGCTGGTCCCAAGAAGGGTGTTTATGTTCTATACCTTTTGGGCAATTTGATAAATTTTTGTAACATCCCTTCAACATCATCTATAATTAGGAAATGTCAGGCTGTGCAAGTTGGGGGCATGGGGAATAATTCGATGACTAACCGTTGTACCTTCCAACCAGAGAATGAAATTATAAGGGCTTTCCTTTTACTTCTGATGAGCAAGGACCTAGAAATAACATTAGAGGCTGTTTCTTTGGCCTTTGTGTGTCTGCCTGGCAGCAGCAGCAGTAGCAGCACCTAAGGAGCTCTGGTAAACTTGCCTTTCGTGTCCTGTTCCCATAAGCTTCCACTAAGAATGCTACGCAGGCACAGCCAGTGCCAGATGTCAGCTTTTTCCAGACAATGTTTAGCCATTGCCCAGCCTCACTTACAGAATTGCAGTGGGTGCCCAAATGACATCCTCTCATGAACCTCTCCTGTTTGCCTATTGTTTGTTCCATCATTTTTTTAATCATAGAAAAATCCACTAAGGAAGAAAAAAGTACATAGCTGCACAATGCTTTCTGACTGCAGAGAGAGGGTTCCCACTGAATGTGAAATGCACCATCTGTGGCTTTGTTTTCCATAGCGCAGAAAGTACATAGAGGGCATCATCTTCCTGCTAAAGGTGGTGCATGCTGCAAGGTTGTTATAGGGGGCCATGAGTTCAAATCAGACCAGTGATGCATGCACCCACTGGGATGCACTACCTGTTTTAATGATCCCAGATACGCCCTCACTTTCCTTGTCAGTCGCTGGTGCCATGGCCAAAGAACGGTACAAGAGTGGGGATGCAGGGGGTCACTTGAGTTCAATCACTGGTTGAAGACCCAGTACAGCCACCCTCAACTGTGGTGCTCTGCTCGCTTTTGGTGCCTCACTTTGGCACACTTCTCAAGTTCTCCCCTACAACCCAAATCACTTTCCCTCCAGGCAGTGGGAGCTTTTCTTTTTCTGTTTTCAGAACACGTCGGGCATGCTGTAGAAGGGCAGTTGCACCAGCTATTTTCATTTCTCCGGTTGGCCTCTAGATGGCCATATAAACCCAGAGACACACCAGAAAAATTAAAATGCTCAAGGCAACTGGGGCTTTGTTTTGCAGTGTTTCCTAAACTAAATTAAGGGCTTGCTTGCTTTTTTAAGGAGAGCAAGCAAGAAAGATGCAGCTCCTGGTAAGAGACAGGAAAAGAACAGCAGTAAAAGAAATAATACCAGTATGAAAGAAAGAAAGAAAAGAAAAGGCAAGGGACTGAGTGGTGGGGGGAGGGCGAGAGAATGAGAGAGAGAGAGAGAGAGAGAGAGAGTATGCCTTGGGGGTAATTTGCAGGAGTGGGTCCCCAGGTCCACTCATCCTGGGGCCCTTCTCTGCCTGAAGAGGAGGTAGCCTGGGCTCTGAAGGTGTGGCCATCAGCAGGTGGGGAAGTGGGGCGATAGTATACTTGGTGAACACCACCACACCTTGCGCTTTTCAAAAGGCATAAGGTGTTGCCCACTAAGCAGTGTTTTTAGCAACTCCTTCCTTTGCCTCATCATGTCCACATCAACTTCACACTTTCTAAAAATTGTGATGTAAGTAGCTCAAGAAACAATACATTTAACAGCCTCATCTTCTGATTGTGCATCCCCAGCTGCCTTGAGCCCTTTGTTGGAAAACGGCAGGATATAAATCAGAAAAAAAAAATCAGCTTTGTACCTATTTCCCAGTTATTTAGCAGATTTTATCCTGAGAAGAATATGCTTGCTAATTTTATCTGAGTATATACCTTGGGACATGCATGCATTTTATCTTGATAAAAGTGGAAACTGTTTGTAATATTAAACAGAACTCCAAGAATATATACAGAACAAGAAAGAGAGACTTAATCTTTCAGATGGTAAATATTACTAGAACTCTACAGTGACCAGAGTTTCAGTATACAGGTCTGATAATATAAGCTGTAGTTTTACACCTCTGTATACACACCAATACAGTGGTACCTTGGCTCACAAACTTAATCCGTTCCAGGACTCTGGTCGTGACCCAAATTGGTCGTAAGCCCAGTTAAATTTCCCCATAAGGTTCAATGTAAATAAAGTTAATCCATTCTGTAACCATTTTTAAATCAGAAAAATGTGAAGCAAAGTGACAACAAACAAAGATCATGGCCATCTCCCCCCATCCCGAGCACAAGCGCGGCCATCTCCCCGCCACTCCAGCACAACCGAGATCGTGCCTGTCATCCCTGCAGGCTCCCGTCATCCTGGCACACTGGGGGTGGGGGGGAGAGATGGGCGTGATTGCGGGCACACTGGGGGAGGAAGAGATGGGTGCAAATGGCACGCTGGGGGACAGAGAGACAGACGCGAATGACGCGTACTGGAGGAGAGACTAGCGCGAATGGGGCGCGCTGGGGGTGGGGAGATGGCCGCGATCGTGCTGGTTGGGAGGGAGGAATGGCCGAGATTGCGCCTGTCTTTCCTGCATGAATGCGCCTGTGATCACGCACGCCTTCCCTGCACAAAAGCAACTGCGATCTGTGGCCATCTCCCCACTGGGAGGTGGGGTGGCTGTGATCTTGGTTGCCACCCAATGCGGAGTTCGCGACCCAAGTCAAAATTTTAATGACATTTTTGTTCGTTACCCAGTTTGTTCATAAACCAAGGCGTTCGTGAGCCGAGGTACCACTGTATATTAGTCTCTAAGACCCCATCCTAAATATCTGATGGGGCAGCAAGGCTTCTTTCTGACCACAATTCTCTCAAATAGCAAAATCCAGAGAGAACACTGTTGATTACATTTAAATTGAAATCATGATATTTAGAGAATATACTTACAGTGCAACAAAGAAATTAAGTCTGGTGTGTTCATTTATATTGTAGCCAGCCCTCTTGAAATAAACAAAAGTCATTGCCAAAAGATACTGTTGGAAAAGATAAAATACTGATGTTAATATCCCTTTTTCATGTTTTTCTTAAATGAAAAGACTATCTTTTAATTATTTGGTAACATCAATGGGAGAAATATTTTCACCTATCAGGAAAAATGCACACTTTATTGCAATGAATGGAATCCAGCATGGACAATCCAGTCCATGTTAATGCAAGGTCATATTTGTGAAAACTAGGATATGATAACAGCAGAACAACAACCCTTTTTGGCAGCATACAAACTAAGACACCAGAAACAAATTTAAACAATAAAACAGATTATAAACAGAAGAAAAAAACTCCTAGCAGCAGAGAAGCAGAACTCCCGCATACTAAAGCCAATGAAAAACCATATGGAGAAGAACGTTTTCACTGCCTGCCAAAAATTAAAACAGATGAAGTTCATACAGCCTCCTCTGGGAGCAAAAAGCACAGCTGAGGTGTTGCCTCAGAAAAGGCCTATCCGGCTTTTCCAGCAAATATAGCTTCTCTTAGTGGAGAGAAATATAACAATGCCTCAGAGAAATCAATGGCTTTCTCACTATAAGATTGTAACCTCTGAGCAGGTCATAAAGGAGGAAATGGTCTTTCAGATATCCCGGCTCCAACCAACACTTTGAATTTGGTCTGAAAACAAACAAAATGCCATTGCTGTTGGTACATACTATTGTAAATCATCCAGAAAGCTTCAGCTGCTGGGTTGCATAGAAATGAAATTGAATAAATAAATATATAAGATCAATGACAATAAAGGAAAATGAGCTGTTCTTTCAGAACTGTTCCCTGTTTCCCTTTCCCCCGTCCCTTATGTCTAACTAGAAAAACAACATATCTCCATAAAGTTTTCAATCATAGAAGATTAATGTCAAGGTTAAAATTAAACTTTTTTCAGCACCTAAAGGCAGATTGTGATTAAGTGCCTCTTTACTTAACTCATCAAGTAGGACCTGATGGAGTTAACTAAACTGGGAGTGGCAATTCAGCCAGTTTTCCTGAGATCATATCTAAACCTGTCTCTGCCCCACCCCCCTGTAGAATGTCTAGGAACTTTCTTAAAATGAAATAATCTTCCTCTTTTTCAATCTAGAGTCATCCCTGATTAATAAGTAACATTTAACTGTACACATATACTAAGAAGCTAGTCCTGCTGATATCAATGGAACTTAAATAAATAAATAAACTTCCCAATAAACAAGTTTAGGATCACCATTTGATTTTATATTTAAGTAGTAGTAGCAGCATGTTGTTCTGTAAATTAAGCAGTATCTAATTCACATTATTTTCAAAAGCATTGACATATTCATGTTATCTGAAACAATGGAGTTGTTAAGGTAAGTTCTGCCTGTGTGAGGCTGGATTTAAGCTAATACGTGTAGGCTGCAACAGGAGAATAAGATTCTCAGTACTTAAGATTGTAATGACATTCAAGACTACACACAGCTTTACCTTGTCTGCAATTTTACAGCAACAATCCATCCACAAGAAATCTTGAATTAAATCATCATCTGTAAAATAAGGCAGCTATGACAGACCAGCTATATGTTTTTGAAAAACACAGGAAGCATTGGTTAAAAACACCTCTGTACAAATCAAGTATCATTCTTGAAAAATTACTGGTTTCCTGGGTAGATAGCATCCTACTGTCTGAAGAAAGAGGATGCTTTCATATAAAAGCAAACATCAAAAACAAGGGAAATGACTATGAAGACATAATGGTACTCTTTATATCTGGAGTGGTACAGCTTGCCTTCCTACTCCTTTCCTTCCAGAATTGTTCTCTATTACCTACATAATAATCTCCACGGACATGTAAGGTGCAAATCTATGCATGTTTAGACAGGAAAAAGTCCCTCCCAGCAGTACCAACTTAGCAGTGCTGACTGTGGAATGCTGGGAGCTATGTGACATTTTTCTGTCTAAATGTACATAGGATTACACTTTTAGTCTCAGTTTATTCAGGCCTTAAAGTTAGCAATGTATATGTATCTGCATTCTGTGAACACAGGATTTATATCTATTGTACATGCATGTATGTCTGTATCTCATAAGAACTAGCATGATGTAGTGAAAAGAAATTTGGGTATGGAGGTATGAGATGAAGTTTCAAGTTTCAATCTGTGCCTTCTAGCTCAGTCTTGACTAAATACCTTGCCCATTTTTTTCTCTTTCCCACACAGACACGCATGGTAGTCATAGATAATAGATACGTCCTACTAAAATAGGAAATACGCAAACATATAGATTTAGTGCATTTGAACAAACGACAACCCAGGAACCTACCAAATAACTTAAAGAAAGCTGTCATTTCCTGTCGCTGAATAACTAGACATGAACCTTTTGGATGTTTTGCTTTGGTATTAATGTTTTTCCCACAAATCTCCTGGCTGTCTTTAAATTTAGGACGTTTAAGGCCAAGACCTTTTTTTTGCTGATATGATCTGGTTGCAGTTGATTTTATATGGACAGTGACACTGGGAGGTGTCTGGCAGCAGCTCTGGTTATGCTTCATTTTCTAATGAAGTAACCTGTTAAACATTAAATTGGCAGAACATGAAAAAGGGATAAGTCTTCTCTATGTTTATTTTTCACATTATAAGAAAATGCAATAAAATTATATGCACATATAATACACATACACATATACACATTTCCACTTTACCTTTCAGATTTTTTTTCCTCATTAGAGGTCTTTGCCTGCACTGCAATTGTATTTCACCTACCTAACCAATCCTGATTGTAAAAAGGGGGGGGGGGAGAGGTGGGGGGACTTTGCCCAAAGGAAAGTAATGAGGAATAAATGTAAACAGCTTTAAAAGAATACCCTCACAAATGTCAACAGCATGAAGGTAAATCATATACACATTTGAATACTTTCACATACAGGTAAATGCTCAAACAGGAAGAACCTTCTTTTCGTACACAATGCTCATTAGCTGTGTTTCAACACAGAATGGCATAAGCAAAGGCAGCAGGGAAATATAGTGTCTATTTATGCTATTTATCTTTCCATAACAGGTTTGTTTGTTTGTTTGTTTGTGGTAGTTCAGCTCCATTGCCGTTTCCCTCCACCTGTGGTGTGGAAAAGTGGTGGTATTTGCATACAAGGCAAATGCCATAACAAAATACCCAAGAAGGCTATAACCCTGTGCTTTAGAAGCAGGAAATTTCTGCCATATGTGGGACTCCATAGGCCACGACAAACCTACAAATATGGCTGCTATAAATGGCCAGGTGTGTGCAAGATATGAAAATGGTGTCCATTTTCACACACACACATATGCACAGTTAAATTGGTTGTTGTTATCTGCCATCAAGTTATCTTCATGAAGGAAAGTCCTCCTATCCTATCCATGACATTCCTGCTTAGCTGTTCCAAATTTAAGGCTATAGCTTGCTTTATGGAATCAATTCATTCTCTTATTTGGTCTTCCTCTTCTTCTGCCTTTGACTTTCCTTGGCATGACAGTCTATTCCAGTGAGTCTTGCCTTCTCATGATGTGTCCAAAGTGTGACAGCCTCAGTTTTGTCAGGTTTGCTTCTAGAGAAAACTCTGGTTTCATTTTATCTAGAACCCACTTGTCTGCCAAGGGTATCTGCAAAGCGCTCCTCCAGCATCAAGTTTCTAACACCATAGTATGGTGTCATCCACATATCTTAAACTAGTGATGTTTCTTCTGCCAATTTCTACTCCTTCCTTCTTTTCTAATCCGGCTTTCCTTATGATGTGTCCTTCATACAGATTGAACAAATAGGAAGATAAAATACATTCTTGCCTGACATCTTTGCCTATGGGAAACCATTCTGTTTCTTCATATTCTGTCCTAAACTGTAGCTTCTTGTTCATGTAGTGCAGAAGCACACCCATTTCTTTCAGGACCATTTATAGCTTCTTGTGATTCAGACAGTCAAAGGCTTTGCTGTAGTCTATAAAGCACAGACTGGTCTTTTTCTGAAATTCTTTGGTGTGTTGTAATTTGGTGTGTTGCCAATGTAAATTTGCAATATCATCTGTAGCGCCTCTTCCTTTTTGAAATCCAGTGTGGACATCTGGCATTAAGCAACTAACATAATACTCTAATAAAATATTAAAGGTTATTAAATGCCCTCTTCATAGAAGGCAGTCTTAACTTGCCACAAAAAAGGGCATGCTGGGAGTTACAGGACTTTTTTCTGTCTAAATATACATAGGATTTAACTCCCTTGTTTTCAAGAAAGCCTTTCACCTTCCACTCTGCGTGGTATTTGAAGGAAGCTGCAGTCCTGTGAAGGGACAAGGAAGCACTTTTGGAAGTGTTCTGTTGCTCCCTGAAAATAACCATTAAAATATAGTAGTCGCACTCCCCATGCAGATGACAGGACTTGGCCTACACAAGATGTGATAATCTCAGGCTTGTGTTATTCCTCCAACCGTACCCCCCCACCCCACCCTATCACCATTAAACCTGCCAGCCAAAGACTACCAAGTTTTTGGCCTAGCAGCTCCAAGCTACACACCAAATTTATCAATATAAAAATTACCTCAGATTTACACGGACTACATGAGCAAAGGAAAACAGGGCTACATGGGGTAAGGAAAATCTGTCCGCCTATCCAAAATCTCCTCAGACCAACAACTTCCTGCACAGAAGGAGCTCAACTCCTGCCAAGGCAGGGAGCTACTCCCCTGCTTTTGCATCCAATCCAAACACAGGCATGACGGGTCTTAGCCAATTAAAGGATAAGGGCCTCCTCGAACTCCTCTCCCAACCTAGGAATGTCTTAAAGCATTCAGCCAATCAGAACAGGTGGCCTTTGTTTCTAAGGCAGACTTGAAAACTATCCTTAAATGTTTCTTTATATAGGCCATTACTAAGGCATGCTTATTTACTAAGTCGTGAGGAGCATAAATTGGCATAAAGAGTCCAACTATTTGGGAAGCACACAAATATATTTAATTATAAACTGTTGCAGCACACAGAGTGTAGAGGAAATTTATAAAAGCTTTTTCAGCAACTCAAAAGTACTTTGGTCTTTTGCATGCTTTGCTTGATCAGGTAATAGAGAAGGTGAAGTTATTTGCTTCCTGGCAGCCTGGACTGATGAACCCTGGCCAGCAGGTGGCTGTAAAATATAATAGAACAAAGGCAGGTGCACACATGGAATATTGGGACATATTCCAAAGCTTGTTTCCTGAGAAATGGTTAGGAATTAGGAATTAAAATTGTCTAAGCAGCAATACAGTGGGCTGGGTTCAGATAACATACTCAGTAATCTATAGTGAGTAATCTACTAAGGGGTTGATCATAAGTCGCTAAGGAAAAACAGAAGTGGTGGTTGCCCAGTTGCTGTGCTCAGGCAAGACCACAACAGCCCAGTTTTTTAACCCATGGCCTGAGGTATGTGTGAACCAGATCCCCGTTGAAAACACAGCAGAACCTTTTTCAACCTGATGGCAGAAGTCGATGTTGGAGTTCTTGGGGGCTTCATTCCAATAGTGTACAGGACTAAAGGCAAAAAGGTAAGTACTAATGTATCAACGTATCTTAGCTTAAAACTGTTACTGCCAACAATTAAGCCTTAGGAGATGGCCTGCCAACCTTTTAAAATGAGGGTTAGGGTTAGGGGAATGTTTTATGAAGGCCAGAAAACTGCCAAATGACTGGCAAGTAGGGGAAAGAGAATGAGGTTAGAGGAAGAGATCATGGCTTTCTTTAGGAACCCCAGATGTTCTGATTTGGTTGAAATCCCTCTCCTTAGTTCCCGAAAAGAAAATCTTTAAGCCAAAATATGTTAGTACTGGTTGCGCCTCTTCAGCCTTTAGCATCATACACTGGAAAATGGGTCCTGACAGCTTCTGGGAAATGGAATTAAATCTCCATGTTGAAGGAGAAACCCTTGATTAAAAGGTGCAAAAAGGTCTTTCCATGAAAATCAATGGTTGGTTTCTGCAAGTACATTGGGATTTGGGCAATTGATTGTGTGGGCCAGTCTAGCAAGACCATTTTCCCAATAGTGTGCAAAGGACTAGGACTTAAGAAGGTAGGAATCTACCAACCAGTGATGAGTGGCCAATATAAAAAACTGGACATATTGTATTCTGCCAGTTATCAATTGGGCCAGGCCTAAGATGGTCACTGAAAACCAAGAAATCCAAGCCGGTTTCCAGGAGTCTTAATGTGAATATTGACATTCTCAAAAAGCAATATCTGCTTGAGTTTTAAAAAATCTCTTAATTTTTATTTTCTTAACATAAATGAATGCAGAAAGAAAATCACATATAAAATAAGGTAAAATAAGAACAAGTTGGAGGAGGATGGAGACTTAATGACAATCTTTTGTTACAAGAAGATATTTTGACAAAATCAGAAGTACTAGAAGAATTTTTCAGACTAAATTATTCAAGTGCTGTTTCCATAGCTACAATATGGAAAGCCAGTAAAGTTTATATGAGAGGGCACTTTTTAGAAATAATGTCTAAGAAAAAGAGAGAGAAATCACAACATAGTTTAAAAATATCCCTTGAGACCAGGTCAGCAAACTTCTGTTGCACCACCTGATGTAAAATATACCCATAATAGAAGTAAAACAGTAACAATGGAATTTCCAGTTCTATGTGCATAATTTTGGGGAACTGTGAGATATCCTGGAGCTGTGGAAAGAAATATGCTTGTCAAGCATTTTAATATTTAAGAATTAAATGAATCATAATAGATGACATCTTTCTGATTGAAGTGCCTTTGTTGAAGACAACATTTTGCTTGTAAAGTGTGAAAACTTATATTATCATTATTTCCCAGGGCTCTGTGCTGGGACCAATCCTGTTCAATCTTTTCATCAATGACCTGGAAGAGGGAGTGACCAGCCTGCTGATCAGATTTGCAGATGATACTAAAATAGGGGTGGTGGCCGCAACTGAGGAGCAGGTACTCCAGATCCTGAAGGATCTGGACAGACAATGGAAGTGGGCAGGGGGCAAAAGGATGGTGTTCAACGCAGGTAAGTTCAAGGTCTTGCACTTGGGGCATAGGAATGGGTGTCATAAATACAGGTTAGGGGACAAGTGGCTGAAGAGCAGCACTTGTGAAAGGAATCTCAGAGTACTGGTCGACTGCAGGCTAAACACGAATCAGCAGTGTGACGTGGCAGTCGAGAGGGCGCACACCACCCTTAGCTGAATAGCTGGAAGTGTGACTTCTAGATCAAGAGAGGTGTTACTACCACTCTGTCTGTTGGAGATATATAGGTACATGGGGGGTGTCACATGGAGGTGGGTAGAAACCTGTTCTCCCCTGAGGAGATGGGCAGGACATGTCGAGCAAAGCTCAGGGAACCAAGATTCAATTTGGATGCCAGGCAATACTTACTGACAGTTAGGGCCCCAAGTGTATGGAATGGGCTTCCACGGGAGGTGGTTGAAGCCCCATCGGTGGGGGTGTTCAAGAATAGGCTGGACATGCACATGGTAGGCATGTCATGAGCGGAGTCGGCTGGAGCTGAGGGTCAGACTAGATGGCCCAGGAGGCCCCTTCTGACTCACACTGTTTCTATGTGTCTATTAAATCTACCTTTCCCACTGCCTTCATAAACCAGCTTATCATTTTATAGTAACATAAGCATATGAATTCCAATTCATACACATACATGTGGCAGCCAATCTTCCTATGCAATGGAAGTAGACTATAATCTATCTCTCTTCAGGGTTTAAAAGTGAAGAAAGTGTATCTATGTGGCCAACACAAAGAAAACCTTCTTTCTAAATATTCATCACCCTAATACTTCTTGCCAGTGGGCCAGAAGGAAGAGTGATATTAATGTTTGAGCAAACTCATACAGGTGAAGATACTTCAAACAACATGGTCTGAAACCATTCAGGGTTTTAAAGGCCAAACCTAGCCCCTTGAATTGGGCCCAGAAATTAACAGGAAGCCAATATAAACAATTCAGAAAA